CTATAACATACAACAAGCAATAACCCTCTATTGACATTTCATTACTGCTTCCCAAAGCTGACCAGATCTTTTATCCAATGAGTAATTCTTATAATACATACCGGTACATACTGGTAATTAATTTGAAGAAGCATCACTGATACAGATGAACATAAACGTAAAATGCCGTTAACAATTCTATAATCAGTTCCTAAGTGCCTGTTCCATTTCATACAATTCTGCAATTTTAATAAACACAGAAGAAATAGCGTTAACAACGACCTGTCCAGTTTTACCATCAGAGTTACTTCGGGCAGGTCATATTACCGTATTCGCCATATCATGTGCCCTGCTCCAATAAGCTTGATCAACTACTGGACCATTCTGTACGTAATCTTTATCAGTAATCCGAACAAGTTTGGAAATCTACATGACAGTCCGTATTTTTTGTGTACATTACAGATTCTTTTACAGAAATCAGAAGCCCAGTAGGGGCTCGGTTTCATCGATGTTTAACTACGTTTGATCACGAGTCCTCGATCTCTGAAAACAAAGGACATACCTACCGGAAAAGTCAATTTTTCAGTTACGAAAAACATTGAAATATTAGTATGAAACTCATTTGTCAGGTTATATCTGGGAACAAGCAGCCTTTTTGTTTGTACTTTTTGTCTACATCTCTTAACAATGCTTAAGAAAATAGCTTGGGTAAAAGATTTGCCCTCGTTCAAATATTTGAAAAACTAAATTATGGAGTATCATAATAATTCTTAAATAATATTAACTATCACAATGATGTTGCAAGAGTTAAAATGCCCTGAATATTCACAATATATCTGCTAGGGAATTTTTTTTAGTTTTTAAAGGAACTAAAATAACAATATTAGGTTTTACATACCATTATTATAACATAAGGTTGAATGTCCCTACTCATTTACAGAAATGCTCACAAGGGACATTATCTACTTTCATGAAACAGATTGCAGTACAAACTACAGAATAAAACGGCTTGAGAAAATTGACAATAAAAATTCAATTAATATTTCTTGTTGACCTTGACCTTTTTCATGTTATACTATCAAAAACTGTCGCCAGACAAACCAGCAGGAAATGTATTTCTTATTTCCTGTGTCTGCCCCAAAATGAAAAGTTTTGTTGATTGTGTTTTTGTGTTGTTGGTATCTTTCTAAAGTTTTCGCTAAATAACTTTAACAACAAATCAACCAACCATTTTTCCATTATTTTTGCTTGGCTTTCATCTTAGCATATTGACCCAAAACATCTTAAGACAGAAACAATGTTCTTTATGATGTTGATTAAATGAAAACACATACAATTTTTACATTTTAACATCACATAAAAAACTGATGGGTACAACAGCATTGTCATTCGAAACCATATGTTCCAATGATAATAATAATGTGGTAACATTGCATCTATCACTGGATGAGGGTGGGTATATTGTACTGACCTTTGAATTTATTGTAACCCTGTGTCTGGCTGTTTTTCTAGCAGGGATAGAAATTTACACAAGCCGGCGTCAGTGGGTCAGACATATCCCAAGGGCAAGTAGAACTCAGCTTTATAGTGAGTGAGTATGGTTTTACGCCGCTTTTAGCAATATTCCAGCAATATCACGGCGGGGGACACCAGAAATGGGCTTCACACATTGTACCCATGTCGGGAATTGAACCAGGGCGTGACAAGCGAACGCTTTAACCACCAGGCTACCCGACCACCCCCATTCACATTTTTATGGGGTATCAATTAGGGCTGGGATGGGTAACTCTGGTACTCGGGTTGGTTGGGTCCTGAGTAGGACCCGGGTACCTGCAGGACTACCCAGACCCGAGGTTAGTCATGTCATATATTGTTCATTTGCATTCACAATAATAATCACTTATGTTTGCATGTTTAGTTTTCTGACTATGCATGCATTCTTTCTGACTTTTATGTGTTTATGTAAAGATAAAACTTCAGTCAAGTTCAGTGTATGCATGATCAGATCATTTTATACGTGTATCTAAATAGTTTTTGACATGGCTCTAGTAAAACAATTCCCAATCGGACATTTTGTACCCAACCTTGACACCTACAACAGGTACCCGGGTAGGGTCAGGTAATAGGGAGATCAGGTACTCGGGTATTACATTTTGACGCGTCCCAGCCCTAGTATCTATACATCTTATCCCTATTCAAACTAGTAAATGTTTTGGGTTCATTTCTTTCTGTCTAGTCATAGGGACTTGCACAACCTTTTTTTCACAAGCTAAGGCATCTATAAATAATTGAGTCAGGACCAGACAATCCAGTGACTGACATCAGGAACATCCATCTATGCAATTAGGATCCTTCACACACATCACATGTAACATCACATTTTCAGGCAAATGAGATAAGTCAACAATTTTGCAGACATCACATTCTATTTACATTATCTTTGTTTGTTTGTTGTTCAACGCCGCACTCAGCAATATTCCATCTATATGACGGCAGTCTGTAAATAATCGAGTCTGGACCAGACAATCCAGTGACTGACATCGTGAGCATCAACCCACGCAATATGGATCGATGACATGCATCAACCAAGTCAGTTAGCCTGACCACCCAATCCCGTTAGTCACCTTTTATGGCAAGCATGGGATGCTGAAGACCTATTATTCTACCTGGATCTTCACGGGTCCTTGTTACAGCAGAGCTTTCTGTAGTAGGATTGATCCTTCATAAGGCCATAATATACAGGATTCCTCACAACAATGCTACCTTGGGGGGCCAAAAAATAATGGTGGAGGTGGAGTCGTAAGGGGTAGTTGACCCAACACAACAGTACATGCTTGCTCTGCCAAACAGAAAATAGTAGTTGTTTATGATTCATTGTGTAAATATTCAAAGTGCTATAACCCAGTTAGTACTATATTGAAGGGCACAATAGCGAGGGAACACTGTATTATTACTTTTTCATCCCCTCCTCTAAACACCCTGCCTTACATCGTTTTATTCTCTCCAGGATAAAATATGTTGCCTTCTGTGTTTATCTGATGAAATAATTCATATACACCATGACACATCTGGAATATCGTTGAAAGCAGCGTTAAACCGAACGAACTCACTCGCGCTTCATGTGAATCACAACCATAGATTGTGGGAGGGGGGGTGGGGGTGAGAGTGGTGTGTACATGCACACACATTGCATCCTACCTTACATTTCTGGAAAATATTGATGAGAATGTAATGATTAATGTGTTGAGACCAAGACCCTCTCAAAGCCTTCTGGAGTAGAAATGTCTTAAGATGGAAATGGTGAAAAGGTTGATGTCCGACCATCTCATGGACACTCTTAGTCATCAACGGAATAAACAAGAAAAACATTTTCAAACACAGAGCTAGCCCCTTTAACGCTTCAACTTGGAGATAATTACGTGCAACCATGCATTTCTGGTGTCATTACCTCTGGTTTGAGGAAATGCATGTCTACTTCAATATCTTACACCAAATTCACAGTACCTTGTGGGAGAAGAATAAGGAACCTCTACTGACAATACTGGTAGTCTGAGAAAATATACTACTCAACATTTGCTAAGGACCACACCTTTGAAGATGACTATTTTGGTCCTGAAGGTACCATGCGACAATTGCTAGCAAAGGCAGATCCAGAGGTGGGGGCCTGGGGATCCAAACCACCCTTTTTGAAAACAAAATGAGGTATGTTGGTACGCAGTAAAGTTGAAAGAAGATTTTGATATTTTGGACTCCTCCCTTTTAAAAATGATGGATCAGACTCCTCTCTATTAAAAATGATGGATCCACCTTGGCAAACTGTATTAGAAAGGTGCATGATGGTCCTGTACGCTGGGGCCCAGTCATCTAAGGCACCGCGATTCGCTGTGCAGAGTTGCATCCTTTGGGCAAGCCAGAAACCTATGATTGTGGGTTCGAATCCCAGTTTGCCCTGATTGTTTCTAGGTTTGTCAGCACCATACCCGTGCTCGTGGATTTCACCGAAGTGGTAAACGTCTCAGACCTGCATCACTTCAGACTTTCCTTTCACATTAAGCTGATACGCCACGATATAACTGGAATACTATTAAAAGCGTCGTTAAACCCAACTCACCCCAAATCCTGTATGCTACTTTTGATAACAAAAGTTACATGCAATTGTGGTCTCATGACATCACTTCAATTTTATGAATACACATGTCTATTGCAGTACTATGATGGAGTACTATAATGCCTGGATGCCTCCTTCAAGGGGATGTTACATGGCCTTGACCATCAATATTAGCCAGTGGTATAGAATATATAGATACAAATTACATGACTACATGCAAAAGAAAAAATATCTACATGAATAGGCATGGGATATAAGTAGCCCCTATACTTATTGCACCACCAACCATTTTGACCCAATAATTGTACATACATACATACGGCGGGGGACACCAGAAATGGACTTCACACATTGTACCCATGTTGGGAATTGAAACCGGGTCTTCGGCATGATGAGCGAATGCTTTAACCACTAGGCTACCCATCCTCCCCTCTTTGGGTCCAAGACCGCCTCCATGGTCTAGTGGTAGAGTGTCCGCCCGGAGAGCGGAAGGTCCGGGGTTCAATCCCCAGCCGCGTCTTACCAAAAGACGTTAAAAGATGGTACTTGTACTCTGCCTGGTGCTAGGCATTAAGGGGCTAAAACAAGGACTGGTCGGCTCGGAGTCAGTATACTGTGTCTGAGTGGGGTATTCATGTTAAACTGTGGCATGGTATTTCAGTGAGCTAGCACTATAAATCGGCATCAGTCCGGACTAGTACAAGCAGGCAGACGCACGCACGCACGCACACACGCGCACGCACACACACACACACACATATGCATGCACGTCACTATATAAGTGAAACAATCTTGGACGTGACGTTAAACCCGATTTCACCTCACCTCTTTGGGTCCAGAGGAGGGGTGTGCCCCCCTTCTCCCACTGTATAATGCAGGAACCTGTTAATATGAACAATACCAACAAATGGTCTAAAAATAAACAATTTCTTTATTAACAAATCAAAACAACATATGAACAGACCAGCTTTCACACTCCATATACTTGGTAGAAAATTACCTATAACATACAACAAGCAATAACCCTCTATTGACATTTCATTACTGCTTCCCAAAGCTGACCAGATCTTTTATCCAATGAGTAATTCTTATAATACATACCGGTACATACTGGTAATTAATTTGAAGAAGCATCACTGATACAGATGAACATAAACATGAAATGCCGTTAACAATTCTATAATCAGTTCCTAAGTGCCTGTTCCATTTCATACAATTCTGCAATTTTAATAAACACAGAAGAAATAGCGTTAACAACGACCTGTCCAGTTTTACCATCTGAGTTACTTCGGGCAGGTCATATTACCGTATTCACCATATCATGTGCCCTGCTCCAATAAGCTTGATCAACTACTGGACCATTCTGTACGTAATCTTTATCAGTAATCCGAACAAGTTTGGAAATCTACATGACAGTCCGTATTTTTTGTGTACATTACAGATTTTTTTACAGAAATCAGAAGCACAGTAGGGGCTCGGTTTCATCGATGTTTAACTACGTTTGATCACTAGTACTCGATCTCTGAAAACAAAGGACATACCTACCGGAAAAGTCAATTTTTCAGTTACGAAAAACATTGAAATATTAGTATGAAACTCATTTGTCAGGTTATATCAGGGAACAAGCAGCCTTTTTGTTTGTACTTTTTGTCTACATCTCTTAACAATGCTTAAGAAAATAGCTTGGGTAAAAGATTTGCCCTCGTTCAAATATTTGAAAAACTAAATTATGGAGTATCATAATAATTCTTAAATAATATTAACTATCACAATGATGTTGCAAGGGTTAAAATGCCCTGAATATTCACAATATATCTGCTAGGGAATTTTTTTTAGTTTTTAAAGGAACTAAAATAACAATATTAGGTTTTACATACCGGTAATATTATAACATAAGGTTGAATGTCCCTACTCATTTACAGAAATGCTCACAAGGGACATTATCTACTTTCATGAAACAGATTGCAGTACAAACTACAGAATAAAACGGCTTGAGAAAATTGACAATAAAAATTCAATTAATATTTCTTGTTGACCTTGACCTTTTTCATGTTATACTATCAAAAACTGTCGCCAGACAAACCAGCAGGAAATGTATTTCTTATTTCCTGTGTCTGCCCCAAAATGAAATGTTTTGTTGATTGTGTTTTTGTGTTGTTGGTATCTTTCTAAAGTTTTCGCTAAATAACTTTAACAACAAATCAACCAACCATTTTTCCATTATTTTTGTTTGGCCTTCATCTTAGCATATTGACCCAAAACATCTTAAGACAGAAACAATGTTCTTTATGATGTTGATTAAATGAAAACACATACAATTTTTACATTTTAACATCACATAAAAAACTGATGGGTACAACAGCATTGTCATTCGAAACCATATGTTCCAATGATAATAATAATGTGGTAACATTGCATCTATCACTGGATGAGGGTGGGTATGTTGTACTGACCTTTGAATTTATTGTAACCCTGTGTCTGGCTGTTTTTCTAGCAGGGATAGAAATTTACACAAGCCGGCGTCAGTGGGTCAGACGTATCCCAAGGGCAAGTAGAACTCAGCTTTATAGTGAGTGAGTATGGTTTTACGCCGCTTTTAGCAATATTCCAGCAATATCACGGCGGGGGACACCAGAAATGGGCTTCACACATTGTACCCATGTCGGGAATTGAACCAGGGCGTGACAAGCGAACGCTTTAACCACCAGGCTACCCGACCACCCCCATTCACATTTTTATGGGGTATCAATTAGGGCTGGGATGGGTAACTCTGGTACTCGGGTTGGTTGGGTCCTGAGTAGGACCCGGGTACCTGCAGGACTACCCAGACCCGAGGTTAGTCATGTCATATATTGTTCATTTGCATTCACAATAATAATCACTTATGTTTGCATGTTTAGTTTTCTGACTATGCATGCATTCTTTCTGACTTTTATGTGTTTATGTAAAGATAAAACTTCAGTCAAGTTCAGTGTATGCATGATCAGATCATTTTATACGTGTATCTAAATAGTTTTTGACATGGCTCTAGTAAAACAATTCCCAATCGGACATTTTGTACCCAACCTTGACACCTACAACAGGTACCCGGGTAGGGTCAGGTAATAGGGAGATCAGGTACTCGGGTATTACATTTTGACGCGTCCCAGCCCTAGTATCTATACATCTTATCCCTATTCAAACTAGTAAATGTTTTGGGTTCATTTCTTTCTGTCTAGTCATAGGGACTTGCACAACCTTTTTTTCACAAGCTAAGGCATCTATAAATAATTGAGTCAGGACCAGACAATCCAGTGACTGACATCAGGAACATCCATCTATGCAATTAGGATCCTTCACACACATCACATGTAACATCACATTTTCAGGCAAATGAGATAAGTCAACAATTTTGCAGACATCACATTCTATTTACATTATCTTTGTTTGTTTGTTGTTCAACGCCGCACTCAGCAATATTCCATCTATATGACGGCAGTCTGTAAATAATCGAGTCTGGACCAGACAATCCAGTGACTGACATCGTGAGCATCAACCCACGCAATATGGATCGATGACATGCATCAACCAAGTCAGTTAGCCTGACCACCCAATCCCGTTAGTCACCTTTTATGACAAGCATGGGATGCTGAAGACCTCTGCTCCTCCGATCTTCTTGGGTCTATTTACATTATCTGAACAGTCTGGTGCATCACCAGTACATTCGTGTCAAATTTGATGTTATAATCATTCTTAAACAATCCACAGTGATGAACATCTTCATTAAAGGGGCTATGCTCGGGAGAAAGTCCAAGCAAGTGTGATTCAAGTTGTTCAAACTCCACTTTTTTTATGTATACTCCCCAGGGGGCTGAGAATTTGAGCATACATTCGCCATATTAAGCACTCTGCTCCAATAAGCACCAACCTGACCTTCAGGGAAGCAATATTCTAAGTGCCCCCTACATGACTGTCAATATTTTCTTGTGTTGAGTACAGACAATTTTTACAGCATGCTGTAATGTCATGTCAGGTGCAGTGTACACAGGCGGAAACAATGACACATAACAAAGCTCACAATAAACAGAGTAATAGAGCACTAGACTTAGACAGTGCTTCTCACCAAGTTGCAGGTCAAGTGTGGTCAGTTTGTCACAAGATGTCCAAGCAGTGATGACAGTTGCCAACCATGTATGGCGGCATCTTTGTTGTCAAATATTCTCATGATTACCAGCATAACACTGTTGACCCAAGTCTGCTGATTAGTTTTTGTAGTAAAAATGTAAGCGTCAATCACATAAATTTCGTGACACATTCCATAGATCTTATTAACTAACAACACTCTCATGCCAAATTTCATGATGTACATTACATTACATATTTTCTGATATTTTAGTATGTGGGCTTCACTTAGAAGTAAATAGAAAGTTCACACACAACCCCCCCCCCCCCCCCCAAACATTTGAAGAATGTGTTGTAAAAACCAGATTCCACAATATTCCGTTGAGTTTCTCCTCTTGATTAGGGGTGGTCGGGTAGCCTTGTGGTTAAAGTGTTCGCTCGTCACGCCGAGGAACCGGGTTCGATTCCCGACATGGGTACCATGTGTGAAGCCCATTTCTGGCATCCTCCGCCATGATATTGCTGGAATATTGTTAAATGTGGCGTAAAACCAAACTCACTCCTCTTGATTACTACTGCAATAGTTGAGTGATTATCATGATAATGAACTATTTTATCTTTTCAGCAACATGGGGAGGATGCCAAATTTGAAATAGATTTAGTGCGAGTAAGGCCATAAAAACAAGAAATTCTCATTGGAAGTCAACAGGCTTTTGGTCTCAATACACATACAGAACACACATGAGAAACCATCGTGTCATGGTTAAGGCAAGAAAATAAACCTTCAAATCAAACTCCAGTTTTGACATTCACAAAACAAATATTAAATCCGATGTTTGTACAGGACATAACCACAACTGACCCTTCACACAGCATGCTTCACAATCACAGGACTGGCATGATGCATGAGAAATAGGTAAACTGTCAACGGCCTAATACATTTTAGAAGAAAAATCTTCCATCCTTGCAACCAAGAATAAGTGATGTGTTCCTTTAACGGTAACGACTGGGTTGATGGCACCCTCTACTGACATTTATCTCCGTATAAAGCCCTGTTACTTGCAACTGTTCCATCTTATAATAATCATTTCTTTTCACTCTTACATCTTTTCTCTGCATAAAGATCTGTGGACACCTCCATAGAAGGTTGTATCAGATAAACTCTAAACTTTGATCACCCAATATAAATGTAGGATGTGTGAGCCAATCAAATGTCAGATTTCCTAAATGCATTGGTTTCTTTTCTTAAGAATGGAGGTTCTGAAGAAATGAAACCAATGCATTTAGGAAATCTAAAAATTTAACTCTTTTTTTTTAAATCCATGTTCGCAAAAGAAAACCAAGACAGAACACAATATACACTCGACAGTACAATATTTTTGGTGTAGATCCCATGATGCACTGAAACACCAGGATGTGTAACATATCCCCAAAAATATAGTGGTGCTGTTTTTTTAAGTTTTGGATTTTGGAATTCCTTCGTTAAATTGGTTGTCTGAATGCTTAACACACTCGTACTGAGAATTTAGAAGCCTTAACACTGATTGGCTGTTAGAAAGTTCCCTATCCTACTGAGGTGTCCTCAAATCTTCACATGCAAAGTTTTGGTTTGGTTTGTTGTTTTACGCCGCACTCGGCAATATTCAAGCTATATGACGGCAGTCTGTAAAAAATTTAGTCTGGGCCAGACAATCCAGTGATTGACATCATAAACATAGATCCACGCAATTGGGATACGATGACATTCATCAACCAAGTCAGCGAGCCTGACCACCCGATCCTGTTAAGTCGCCTTTTACAACAAGCATAGTCGCCTTTTACGGCAAGCATACAAAGGTATTGGACCGGAGTGAAAGATCTCATGGTCATGAAATTGGACCCTGTTAGTCTGTTTAGTGTGAGAAACATCCAGCTATACACTTCTCAAAAGAGTATAAGAAAAATCAGCTGTAGTTTAACTTCTATTGCATGTAGGGCATCATTCTGTACCCCTGATTTGGTAACCAGGAAACTGAATAATCCAGACAAGTTTTCTGGATTAATGGGGTTCAGTGAACTGGCATTTAGATGAAGACCCCAGCATTGGAATCTGAGCCATACTGAATGTGGAAACGTGATAAATGACTTTTCATTCTTGTCATTCTCTTGTACATGAAGATGATCACACAGTTGGCTAACAAGTCTTTCTTCCCTATCCAGTGTTTGCTTGCATATCTTTTTACACCACATTTGACAAGGAAAGCTGTTCCTTTTGTAATGGACAACATAGATGAGATGACATGTCTTTGATGGCTGACCGTGAAATAGTCTACACGATAATGCTGCCATGAGAAGCTGTACTGTACAAGATCACAAATGTAACAATCTTCAGCAGATCAGTCATGCACGATAAGGAAGCGCAGGAAACAACACAAATTGTCACGAACGCTGCCATTGCTCAGTTGCCATGGCAACAACTCTATTGTTGTCCTGACAGTGATCAGATGGGAGTGATGTGATATCACCGGGTGTCTTGGACAGATTTGAAACGATGATTGGGCTACTCTCACGTTATCATCCATGGTTCTTGGATTCGGTAGAACAATGTCATTGGCACTTCCTGTTAGACAAAATAGGAAATTATCAGACATGATTACAACTGAATGTTATTGAGAAGCTGGCAGGTAAGTGGAAATACAATCAATTACAAACAAATAAATTGCAAGTGATAATGTGGCATTTCATTTGCTAACCAAGGAATTCTTTTTGGTTCATCTTTCCATAAACTGAAATATATTTAGGCCACACCCACATGGCAGACTAATGTTTCCTGATTGGCTGATAATAGTTTGTCTGTTGTTTAATGCCGCACTCAGCAATATTCTAGCTATATGATGGCAGTCTGTAAATAATTTAGTCTGGGCCAGACAATCCAGTGATTGACATCATGAGCACCAATCTACATAGTTGGGATACAATGACATGCTTCAACCAAGTCAGCAAGTCTGACCACCCAATCCTGTTAGTTGCCTCTTTCGACAAACATAGTTGCCTTTTACGGCAAGAATGGGTTGCTGAAAACCTATTCTACCCCTATCTTCAATAAGTAGTGCAAGTGTTTTAATTCATTCCTTAGTATTTCAATACTAATACCTCTTATGACAAGCTGGTGTGTACAAACCAGATTTACATACCTGCATAAAATATTGAAGTCAGTTGTTAAGAGATTCAAATCATTTTCAATTTTATAATTGAAATTACAAAATAATTCCAGAATAACCAACAAGCTACAAGCTATAGACTTACAACAATCGTAGCCCTAAGATCACTTTGTTGGGGAACAAGGTCTTGACCTATCAACCCTTCTGGGTAACACTCCTGACTTACCCGGCACCAGTACATGAGATAGATCTGCTTCATGGACATTTCATCCGCCATCTCCTCCTCCCCACACAACACCTCCAACTGCAACAAATCCAAACCTTTTGTGTACTCAATTGACACGCAGTGGACACAACAGGGGCCATAAAACACCAATATGGTGTGGGGGATCCACATCGGGAAGGCAGGTATGCAACATAAACTGAAACATTGCCATGCCCCAATACTGCTTACACATAACAACACCTCCCAAAAGCCATCTTAATACCTTTAACATTAGATTGTTTTAGGTGAGAGGGATGCCAATATTGATTGGCCATGTTGAAGGATATATGAGTCCAGGGATGCCAATAAGGATTGATTTGTTTGTTTGTTTGCTTGTTTTGTTGTTTAACGCCACACTGAGCAATATTCCAGCTATATGACGCTGTCAGTAAATAATCAAGTTTGGCCCAGACAATCCAGTGATTGACATCATGAGCATAAAACAAAGTCAGCGAGTCAGACGGCACCGATCCTGTTAGTCTCCTCTTAGGACAAGCATATAGTCGCCTTTTACGGCAAGCATGAGCTGCTGAAGACCTATTATTCTACACGGATCTTCACGGGTCCTTGTTACAGCAGAGCTTTCTGTAGTAGGATTGATCCTTCATAAGGCCATAATATACAGGATTCCTCACTACAATGCTACCTTGGGGGGCCAAAAAATGATGGTGGAGGTGGAGTCGTAGGGGGTAGTCAGCATGAACACCCTCCCCCACCCCCACCCCTGAAATTTTTTAAACATTTGATTGCATTTTAAGCAATTTTGTGCAGTTTGGACAACATTCACATCAAGAAATGTAAAAAAGTCAATGGCAAAAGTCAATAAGTCAAATAATCAAAGATGGCAGATGCAGTAAAATTTTGAAGTTTAATCAGTACTTTTAAAAAATCGGGTATGGCTCCTGTGCACCCGGCTACCTGCCAGGTCTGGAAGCAATACAGCCATAAATTTTATCCCCCAGACACAAGAACAACTTTCACAAGCACGCAATGTCTGACCCTTTCCCCATGTTAAAGCATATTGAAAAAAACTTATCTTGTACTTACCTTTTGTTAAAAAAAACAAAAATCTCCATTGCAAACATGACATTAATACAACATATATCCCCGTGTTATGGGTTTTCGGACACTGGGTGCCAATATGGACAGGGCATGTTGAGGGATAGACGGGCCCATGGATGCCAATACGGATTGAGCATGATGAGGGATAGATGGGTCCAAGGATGCCAATATGGACTGAGCATGTTGAGGGATAGATAGGTCCAGGGATGCCAATATGGACTGAGCATGTTGAGGGATAGACGGACCCATTGATGCCAATACAGACAGGGCATGTTGAGTGATAGATGATTCCAGGGATGCCAATATGGACAGGGCATGTTGAGGGATAGATGGGTCCAGGGATGCCAATATGGACTGAGCATGTTGAGGGATAGATAGGTCCAGGGATGAAAGTATGGACTGAGCATGTTGAGTGATAGACAGGTCCAGGGATGCCAATATGGACTGAGCATGTTGAGTGATAGATGATTCCAGGGATGCCAATATGGACAGGGCATGTTGAGGGATAGATGGGTCCAGGGATGCCAATATGGACTGAGCATGTTGAGGGATAGATAGGTCCAGGGATGCCAATATGGACTGAGCATATTGAGGGATAGAATGATCCAGGGATGCCAATATGGACAGGGCATGTTGAGGGATAGATGGGTCCAGGGATGCCAATATGGACTGAGCATGTTGAGGGATAGATAGGTCCAGGGATGCCAATATGGACTGAGCATGTTGAGGGATAGACAGACCCATGGATGCCAATACAGACAGGGCATGTTGGGGGATAGATGATTCCAGGGATGCCAATATGGACAGGGCATGTTGTGGGATAGGTGATTCCAGGGATGCCAATACAGACAGGGCATGTTGAGGGATAGACGGGCCCATGGATGCCAATACAGACAGGGCATGTTGGGGGATAGATGATTCCAGGGATGCCAATACAGACAGGGCATGTTGAGGGATAGATGATTCCAGGGATGCCAATACAGACAGGGCATGTTGGGGGATAGATGGGTCCAGGGATGCCAATACAGACAGGGCATGTTGAGGGATAGATGATTCCAGGGATGCCAATATGGACAGGGCATGTTGAGGGATAGATGATTCCAGGGATGCCAATACAGACAGGGCATGTTGGGGGATAGATGGGTCCAGGGATGCCAATACAGACAGGGCATATTGAGGGATAGACGGGCCCATGGATGCCAATATGGACTGAGCATGTTGAGGGATAGACGGGCCCATGGATGCCAATACAGACAGGGCATGTTGGGGGATAGATGGGTCCAGGGATGCCAATACGGATTGAGCATGATGAGGGGTATATTGGTCCAGGGATGCCAATATGGACTGAGCATGTTGAGGGACAGATAGGTCCAGGGATGCCAATATGGACTGAGCATGTTGAGGGATAGACGGGCCCATGGATGCCAATACAGACAGGGCATGTTGGGGGATAGATGGGTCCAGGGATGCCAATACGGATTGAGCATGATGAGGGGTATATTGGTCCAGGGATGCCAATATGGACTGAGCATGTTGAGGGACAGATAGGTCCAGGGATGCCAATATGGACTGAGCATGTTGAGGGATAGACGGGCCCATGGATGCCAATACAGACAGGGCATGTTGGGGGATAGATGGGTCCAGGGATGCCAATACGGATTGAGCATGATGAGGGGTATATTGGTCCAGGGATGCCAATATGGACCGAGCATGTTGAGTGATAGATGGGTCCAGGGATGCCAATATGGACTGAGCATGTTGAGGGATAGATAGGTCCAGGGATGAAAGTATGGACTGAGCATGTTGAGTGATAGACAGGTCCAGGGATGCCAATATGGACTGAGCATGTTGAGTGATAGATGATTCCAGGGATGCCAATATGGACTGAGCATGTTGAAGGATAGATGATTCCAGGGATGCCAATATGGACTGAGCATGTTGAAGGATAGATGATTCCAGGGATGCCAATATGGACTGAGCATGTTGAGGGGTAGATGGGTCCAGGGATGCCAATATGGACTGAGCATGTTGAGTGATAGATTGGTCCAGGGATGCCAATAAGGACTGAACATGTTGAGGGATAGACGGGCCCATGGATGCCAATATGGACTGAGCATGATGAGGGATAGATGGGTCCAGGGATGCCAGTAAGGACTGAGCATGTTGAGGGATAGATGGGTCCAGGGATGCCAATAAGGACTGAGCATGTTAAGTGATAGATTGGTCCAGGGATGCCAATACGGATTGAGCATGTTGAGGGATAGATGGGTCCAGGGATGCCAATATGAACTGAGCATGTTGAGGGATAGATGGGTCCAGGGATGCCAATATCGACTGAGCATGTTGAGTGATAGATGGGTCCAGGGATGCCAATATGGACTGAGCATGTTGAGGGATAGATAGGTCCAGGGATGAAAGTATGGACTGAGCATGTTGAGGGATAGATGATTCCAGGGATGCCAATATGGACTGAGCATGTTGAGTGATAGATGATTCCAGGGATGCCAATACGGACTGAGCATGTTGAGGGGTAGATGGGTCCAGGGATGCCAATATGGACTGAGCATGTTGATGGGTAGATGGGTCCAGGGATGCCAATATAGATTGATTTGTTTGATATTCCAGCTATATGACAGCTGTCTGTAAAAGATTGAGCATCGATCCACGTTATTGGGATACGATGAAAGGCATCAACCAAGTTGGCGAGACTGACTCAATCTGACTCACCTTCAGTGCAGATGGGATGCCCAGTTTCTTGTACAGCATGGACTTGAGATGGGAGATGAGGACACGAATGGAGCACCGAACAAACTTCTTCTCTAACGGCTGCAGCTGCACATTCTTTCCATGATGTGACACAGTCTGATGTCTGCAACAACACATGGACACTTTTGTAATGACAGTGAGGGAATCAGCCAAAGATATACTACTCATAAAGAAGTTAAGGACTCTTTCATGTTACTACAGTACTACAGGTGGTCCTTAACTTCTTCTGAGTAGTATATAACAGCCAAAATATCACACCAGTCCCACAAGGGCGTTTTTCTTCAGATTTGCTTGAAGACATGGTGACAAATAGTTCTATGACAAGTGGAACATAACACATAAATATCTGATTCTAAGAGCTGATGATGTTGTAAATAAACATTAAATTCATACACTTCTGCACACAGGGTTCCCAGTCATCTAAGGAGCTGCAATTCTCTGTGAAAAGTTGCGTCCCTTAGGCATGCCAGGATCCTATGTTCGTATCCCAGATTCGCCAAGGTTATGATCATTGGTTTGTCCTACCAATCATTGTTTCTAATAAACCAACATCTTAAAAAACTGACCTCGATCATGTCCATTAATAACTTTAATAATGCCTATACTTTGATACAAGTGCAATACACCAGTCTCTGTCAACTTGTCCCATTTATACTATTAACCACATGTAAAATAATGTATCTAGGCATACAATATCAAATGCAGAACTGAGTAGAGATTAATAACTCGACAGAAAGACAAAGACCTGGATGTTGATTATTCAACATCCAGGAAGATAGCTGCATGTAGAGAACATGAGGGTAAAATATTATTATCAGTTTGTATGACCACAGATTTTATTGGCCAATCAGGTAGCTTGATTTAGTGAGTAATGAAGAGAGAACCTTACCCAAACCTCTCTAGGCAGAGACAGATCTGTTCATCATATCTGTACATGTAACTCTGGGGGTTGTTGAGGATGCTGGACAGACGAGGAGCCAACTGGTTCTCTGGCAACAGAAACACAGGCGGTTACCTTTAACCATGGCACCAATATTTTACGTAACATGTCATTTTTGTGAATGAAACTTGATTTGATATTTGCTTTAAATCATTTTCACACACCTTCTATCTTCTTTTCCTTGCCATCCTTTTTCACTGTGATGGTTCCCCTGGCCTTGTTGAATTCTTCTCTTCTTTTTTCTTCACCTGAAGACACACAAACAATTCACTCTAATTGACTCAAAAATAGTCTTTGCTGCACTGATAAGTTTGATGGCATCTACTTTGGGTTTAAAGAAAAAAAACAGCTGTTCAAATGCAACCTAAAACATAATCAACTTTAATCATGATAGAAAAAGAGGAGCCTTCAGCTCCCAATGGTATCCTAGTAACCACTCTGATTCCAAAAAATGTGATGGACACTACTGTAAAGCTGGTTAATCTAGTTAAGTTATTGTGAAGATCTGTACACCCAGTGTGTATTTGAATCAGATGTTTATTTCTATTCAGAGGAGTTTGCTTCAGGGTTCTTTCCAATTTTGTTTCAAATGTCCTTTCTTGATGTTCCGGAAGTTCATAGTTCAAGAGATCAAAGTTCAATTTTGGGATAATAAATTCAGCTGTATCAGTTTCCCCCATAAAAAGTAATAATATAACTGCTGAAATTTTGTTTTTCCATCAAGGTTACATTGATTTTCAGCCTTACACATGTTAAATAACTTATCTGCTTAATTAATATGCTTTTTCTTATTATCTACAAACTGTTCAAATTATATCATGGCATACCTGTGGTTAGCATGGTCATACTCATAGTGAGAACGCCATGATTATTTTGTTCTGAATTAATTCAGAAACAAAAAGCAATATTTCTTACTTTCAAACAGCCCCGGAACCAGTTTGTACACAATGTCTTGAAGTGTGCGATCAGCTCGCAGATGAAACAATGGCTGCGTCTCATGAACTTTGACATTGCACTGGGGACAACACTTGCTGGTCTGAAGGTACTTTACAATGCAACTCTTGCAAACTGAAACACAAGAATAAACAATCAAACTTAAATATTTCAGTTCATATGACCTCAGGATCAGATTTTACAATACTCATGTTATGGTCCAAAGTAATGCAACTCACTCCCACATGTTGCAGGTAATTACATCTTACATCTGAAATTCAACTTACATGTATGGAGACATTCTGTGATAGTTGTGGCGTCAATAAAGTAGCCAGCACAGAGGGAACACACAATGTTGGGATTCACATCACGGATTCGAATGTGCATCATTGACTGAAACAAGAATTTAATTGAGTTATGATGTTTTCATTTCAAGATCATAACTAGCTGAAAGCAAGAGGGGCTTGGGTGACTTAGTCTTGTCAAGTGCTGCCATAGTTATAATTGTTTTGGAGAACTGGTTCCACCTGGAATGCCCTTCTTCTTGCTCAATATCATGTTTGTGAGGACAAGTCATACAATTACATCATCATGTACATTGGCCATTTATCATGTTCATAATACAGAGAATGTATTTTCAAAATGCTGGTGTTTGTGGACAAAATAGGGATGTGGTCCAAAATTGTTGTTATTCTGATAACAGCGAGTCTCTGGTAGTCTGGAAGTGCTGCCCATCTTGATGTCTATGATCATTATGAGCTTGAAGTTGAATATGTTGCAATGTTAATGTTATAATAAACATGACAGAGTGTCTGTGTCTGTTTGTAATTATGATTTTTGCAATATTCACATTGTCATTTAATGTTTGTAAACGTCTGGCATTCCTGGTAAACATACTGCTTAAAGAGTTTATCAACTGGCACCCATTATTTACTATAACTGACTACTCACTGGTGCCAGTACTTACCATGCTCAAAACTAAACCTAAATTACAAGGAAGATGCAGTGGGAAACGTCTTAAACGACTAACTCTTTACTTCTCTCCAACATACCAATATTAAATTTGGGTTGTTGTTAAATAGCCCATGCTTAAGTGCATCTAATACATACAGCTGGTTTTGGTGTCTCATAATTTGTGATGATTGTGTTTCTGGTGAAAGTGACCATGGTGACTAAGAATATTAGTTCAATTCTCATATTCACTTTACAAATCTAAAAGACATATGACATGGTGCGCGATTGGAATGTTTACTTACTTCATCCATCATTAGAGTAATGAATGTCAAATGTAACGCTAACAAATCAACGTAAAGTACGTTTAATTGCGTTCCTCATGCATTACGCCCGGAAGTAATGTCAAACCGGAAGTGTAGAAAATGAAAGTAAAGCTAACATTTACAGCCAAACAATCGTAAAAGATTTTCGTGTGAAATACGAGCTGTGGGATATCTAAATATTTATATGTCAACTGTAAAAACAATTATAGAATTTAATAATTATATATAATGCTAACTCAGTGACCAAGAACTTTTCGGTTTTATAAATAAGGATATTCGTATCGGTGGCTGGAAAACTAAGTAAATAAACAAAAGCACGTGCCGACAAGACAGGAAGCAATTATCTTGCAGAGAAATATGCTGAAGAGAAACATAAAGTAGCATAATGAAGTGTCTTCTTGTTGTAAATAGAATAAATGATGTGCTTTTTGTAGACTTTGATGATGATTTCGCTGCATATATCAACCGTGAAGCTGCCAAACAAGGCTTGACAGAGGTTTGATATGTCTTCATCATAAGATCAGACACCTCCCATATTTTAAGAGAAAATCTGTACTGATGATTTTAGAAATAGGAAAAGTTTTGCCGAATAGCTTTGGTGTCTGTAGTTAGGGGCTGACGTTAGATGTCCCAATGGGTGGAAATTGGAACTTGGATTTTTTAATAATTGTTCCAGGAATTATGCAAAAGTAAAGGGGTCATTGTTGACGCGGATATAGCCTGCAACCTCGGGGTATCGCGGTACTGTCATGTACACTAAATGGAACAAAATGCACTCACTAACCTTTATGATTATTCATGTTCTCTATATAAGGTGTCATTTATTTTATCTAAATATGCATATTTTACTGATAAAAATTAATTATTTACATTAGTCGCGCCGAGTAAAAGCAAGACCTCGCGCTCAGTTTGACAAGGGAGAGAACTCCATCGTCTTTCGGTACAGAGAAAAGTTGTGTGTGGAGGTCCGAAGTGGAAAAAAACAGGACATAATTCTACCATCCACCAAGTATGATAATGCCAGACTTCTGTGGTTTGTCCAGACAAGTGCAAAGACAGCATACCAAGTAAAATTCTGAATGTTATCAGTAATAGGTATCCAATGCATATTTACCGAAAAGTAATGATATTTAAGATTTTTGTTTAAAAAATTGGATGACATTAATTTGTCCAAAAAATGAAAAAATTTAAAAGTTAACAATAAATATATATAAAAAAAGCACTCCTAGTATGCCAAAAGTATGAATTTAACATTTGGCTACTAGCGCAGAACGTATTTGTAAATATGGCATTATGGCCCTTCATTCGTGACCAACTCGTGTTATTCCGGGACAAGCCGAATAGCGACTCGTGCCCCTCTCGTGGCCATTTTTGCGACCGGGTTCCGTCTTAGCGCAAACGGGCATACCTAAAACAATTGTCAACTCGTTGCGTAATGTTTCACGTATATGTCCCCATATATTATATATATTTCAGATGCAATTAAAAGCACATCGGGACATGTGGATTGATACAATATGATTGACCACATTTAACTGTGTCTTGGGTATATTTTTAGATGCAAGACATATGTAAAATCATAAATTGTTTCTGAGGGATTCTTTGACGAAGAACTTGAAATCATACGCGCATTCTGATTGGTTTGTCGTATTTTCGCACATAACATTCATCGATAGGGGGACGAGTCTTCTTGCAGGTTACGGAAAGGGGCGAGTGGTGACGAATGTATGGCCCTTATGATCTCCTAATAGATTCCAGCCACAGAATGTGAAAAAATGTGCGGACTAAGTAACTTCAGTTACCTTATTAGTCGCCATGAATATGCAGATGATCCAGTTCAGGTTGATAGAGAAAGTTAACTTGGGAAACTGAGGGTGATATCGTTGTCCATTGATAGATGGGGATAAGGCAGTATTAAAAAAATTGCCAGAAGTAAGTATCAACGCGTTAATAACTCCTTACTTTCGACAGACGGAACATTCTGAGGAAATTGAAATTGTTTACAAAGTGAGCACTTCCTGGTTACTGATTTGCATTAATAGACAGCCTCTAAGAGGCGTGTCCCGCATGAACTACCTGAAATTACAAATGCTGCGATACCATGAATGCCGCGGTGCTGCGCTACTACAGGGTCCGAGTATGCTACAGATATGAATCCCAGGTATGTGTCTGTATACAGAAATGTAGCCAAGCCAAAATGAGAATACAGAACTGTACCCTAGGATGAGCCCTTTCAGCAGTGTGCAGTTCGCTTAACCAATTCCTTGACTCTGAACATGGAAGATGTTCTAAAGTTTCTGGGTATGTACTGTCATTCTGTTGTATGAGATGCATTCCAGCATGCTATATAAAAACAAATCAGTATAGCTACATTATATTTTGCGATGCACTGTGTTATCTAGCATGTACTTGTCAGGAAAACTGCAGCATGATCCGGTTTCAGTTTTCGTTTGAGGAATATGGACTGGTCAGCTGTTTAGAGTACCAGATACTAATCTGTATTCTGATTTTGGCTAGGGTACATTTCTGTATACTCAAACATACCAGGACTTCATACATATCTGTGATAGCCCTGCCGACAATGACCCCTTCAGTAGAAATTAATGGAAAAAAATAATAGTGCCTCAGTTTCTAAAAATTATTCACTGTATGGCATAAAATAAAATGTGTTGTCATTCCCAAAAATATTGTTTGTCTCCTTTCTGTGAAATTATTGTATGTCTGCAAACCTTTTATAATGAAGTTCTTGTTGCCGAGTTATACCAGGAATATTCATGCATGGACTATGCATGCTCCACAGGCTGGTTCCCAATTCCAGAGGGTTGATACAAACATGAAAAGTGCTTGAATTCCAATGAAATTTACTTAAGAGCCTTACTCATGTATTGAAGCACCTCACAATACATGAATCTTGATACAATACATATCGTGATACTTAATTTACGCTGTTTGGGGTGGCTAAAACAAAGCTGTTTTAATCATTTCAGTTTGTGTTTAATTATCTTAGATTCTGGCTTGTTCTAATAATGTCATGCAGTCAGCATTTTGTTGAATGATAAGTAGTAAGTAATGCTAGCCAATGTAGTTATCAGGCCAGGATATTGCAAAACTTGAAGAATATCACTTTTGGAAGATTTCTACAGAAATAAGATCTAAATCCATACATGGGTACATAGAGGTGCAGGGTTTTAATGGTATACTGGTATACCACAATATGAAATTCTAATGAATACGTAAAACAATGTGTTTGGAAATGACTGGTACATGTATATTGCATTTTTCAAAGTCATGCATGTCTTCTTTTTGTTGGCAAAGTTTACATAAGTGGCAACAAAGGACAAGTCTAATTGAAATTACAGTAAACTATGTTTATAAGGAACATGCTTATAATGTACTGATGGATATAACAAACTTATTTTTGGTACCGGACATTTACTGTGTATATGCTGTACATATAGCGCACTACGGTTAAAATTAAATGCAATTCGTGGTCCCTTTGAATTTGTTATAACTGTATTGTGCTGTATGAAATCTTTAAATGAACAACCGTTTCCTGTGATCAAAAAAGCTAAATTATTTGCAACTAGATTCCTCTATATATTGTTGTGTCTATTGAGCATTTGTTGTGACCATATTGCATGTAAATTTGTGATGCATCAAAACATTCAATCAATCCTGAGACCCCAAGCAGAGACCAATCTCATTAAAATCAGATCTTAGTTCTCGCTACTGCTAAACAAAGATCTGAGGACATCCCATTACAGGTCACGTCAGCACGACCTTTCATCCAACCAATCAGAGCGTCGCTTACCAGATCCTGAAAGTGACAGTCGAAATGTGTTTTCTAGTCATGCAACCTCGAAATATTTAGCAGAGGGTATTCCGAACGACAGTTACGGGTTTTATGATTATATCCATACAATCTATGCCATCTATAAGCCATTCCAGAATGTTGTTTTGGTCAGTTTTAAAAATATGTTTCGAAGCGTAGTTGCCAGTTTGAAACTAGTGCCGTAAAGCTCGAGATAACTGCCTTCTGATTGGCAAATGTTGATTTCTTGTCAGTCATTTCATTGGTCGGTCAATGTTCGCAAAAGGTCGTTCTGACATGACCCGTAATGGGATGTCCTCAGATCTTTGGTTAGCGGTAGCGAAAACTAAGATCTGATTTTAATGAGATTGAGCAGAGACCAAATAATTCCTTTGGCCCATGTGTTTAAATCCTCAGCCAAATCCTGTTTAATCCTGTTAGTTACCTATATATACATTGACACAGTTTCCTATTGGGGACCATTCTGGTTGCCAGGATGACAATATAATTGTGTGACACCTATGGCTTATCGTGGTCATCTGAAAGCTTTGTCAAAACCAATTTTTTACTCAAATGATTTCAAATACAGCCTCCTTATTAAATAATGTTGTCTTTAAAAATACTGTGTTGGTTTATACCATGAAATAAACATTAGGAGTCTGGTGGCTTCCTATAGAAAATTCTAATTGTAAGGCCAGAGTAAAGAGTAAAGGGCATTTTCAGTGAAACCAAAGGTCATTGACATAGCAAATATTTAACTCCTGTGGACAGATGTTGCATATTATCAGTAGTGGTTATGTCATTTGTGTGTAATTATTAGTTTTATCCAAAACTTGATGTTTATTTCAGCCTGAGGAAGCCGAAAAAGATTTGTACAATGTGGACTCCAATGTGTTTATGCAGCTGTTCTCACCCCTGGTGCTGTCCAACTGGGCTCTAATTGAAGAATCTAAGAACCCATGTACATCGGTGACCTTAGAAAATGGATACATCTTTGTGTTTAAACAGGTATGAATTCGACAATTTAAAGTGTAAAAAAAATACATCTCAGCAGTAGGATTACAAAATGACAAATGAAAGCTGGACACGTTATGTAAAGGAGTCATTTTCCATCATCAGACATTATGGTATGAAACTTTATTAAGGCAAATTTTACAAATAAAATATGAGTGGCGTCTGACTTTTTATATGTAGACTTCTACATGTTGCAGCAGCAAGAAAATACTACTTTCTATACTACCCATCAAAAGTTTAGACTCACTGAAACCACTCACTATATCTCGTAAGAAAATCGTATTTGTGAAAGCTACCGATAAAAAATAACAAAATCATTCATTTAGGTCTTCATATCCTTGTTCACAAGGACGTGTGCATTGATGATTAGTGAACCAGAATGCCGTATTGGCTAGTACCATACAAAAGTGAAATTGCAAAATTTAATAACGGGTATGACCACCCCTGGCTCTAACACAGACATTGCATCGACGTTGCATACCACGAAAGAACAGTTCAATCTGCCGCTGGGGAATGTTTGCCACTCCTCAAACAATGCATTGCGAAGTTGGCGAAGGTTAGCAGAGGGAGGAACTCTGGCATAAACACGCCGTCCCAGCAGATCCCAAACATGCTCAGTGGGGTTCATATCGGGCGATAATGCTCGCTAATCCATTCGATTCACCCCATTTTGTTGTAAACAAGCTGACCCGATGCGAGCTCTGTGAGGCCTGGCATTATCATCTTTGAAAACCGCGTGACCTGGCATGGCCCTTAAGAATGGAAGCACAATAGGAATGATGATCTCGTCCCTGTATCTCTGGCCAGTCAGATTTCCATCCTGTACCAGTAAATCAGTTCTTCCAGTCAGGGTGATACCTCCCCAGACGATAACGGATCCACCTCCAAATCGATCATGCTCCACAACAGCAACGTCAGCGTACCGCTCTCCCTGACGTCTGTAGACTGGGATCCGACCATCGTTGAAATGCAGATTGAACCTTGATTCGTCGGAGAAGAGTACCCTTGCCCATCTGCGGGGACCCCAGCGTAAATGTCCATTTCCCCAATTCAGTCTGATCTGGCGGTGGCGTGGTGTAAGAGGGGGTCTTACAGCTAGACGACGTGCCCGCAGTCCGTAGTGACGTAATCGGCGGCGTATTGTTGATACAGATACACGTCGTCCTGTAGCTTGTTGGAAAGCATTATTGGCTGCTGTGGCTGTAATGTGTCTGCCCCTGAGAAACAGCAAAAAGACGCATCGGTCATCTTGCTGTGATGTTACCCTTGACCTACCCGACCTGGGTCGATCCTGGACGGAGTTGGTCTGTTGAAAGCGTACCCAGAGGTTGGAAACTGCCTATTGGGATACGCCAAGACGTCTGGCAACATACCGTTGTGATCTGCCATCTTGTAGCAGTGCCAAGGCTAGATGTCGTTGCTCAATACGGAGATTCTCCCTCTACCCATGCTTGCATCAAAGAAGAATTTCTCCACTAACTCAGAAGAGCCAACTGCAATCCTTATAAAGATGAATTGCACGAGTATCCCGCGTCAAATTGCTCCTAAAACACGTGCATTATCGTGCATGTGAACACCTGCGTTTTGGTGCGAATTTTGTTTAAAAATGTGCAACATTTCACAGAGTTTTATCAATTAATGAACGAAAAACTCTAATCTTTTCACCGTTTCAGATTTGGTTTTACGCCACATCAGTTCATGTGCTAACAGTACCTGTAAAAAGTTTAGAATATTTGGCATTATCTGGTTTGAAACAGTTGAGTATAGTGAGTGGCTACATTTACACTGGTGAGTCTAAACTTTTGATGGGTAGTATAAATAATTTTCATATCATTTAACACACCCTTATTATTAATGTACAGATCTTTTGTGTTAATACTTGACTTTTGTCACTTTTTTAGTTATTTGGATCACTTGAACCAAACTTTTTAACAAATGTAGAATATAACCACAATTTTGTCCTGCTGAGCATTGCTTAGCCTGGTAACTAATTTAAATAAAGAACAAGCTTCAAAGAATCACAGTATGGGAGGGGACGGTGTATTGGTTAAAGCGTCCGCTCGTCATGCCCAAGACCCGGGTTGTTTCCCACATGGGTACAATGTGGGAAGCCCATTAATGGTGTCCCCGCTGTGATATTGCTGAAATATTGCTAAAAGTGGCGTAAAACCATACTCACTTTCTCACAGTATGGGAAAGAAAGTAATCTTTGACTATTTTTCTTCCTCTTGACCTGCAATACCAGTACTTATAAAAGATCAGTTTGAAAAACATGTCTTTAAGTTCTGTTTTTACAAACCCTATGGTTTTGAAAACAATCTGTAATCCAAGTTATGAAAACAATGCCTTATGACTGTATACTTGAAGAAGGTATATGCTTGCATCTTGGTGCCAGTTATCAGGATGCACCAATGTTTTGGCCAGTCATTATAGCCTGAGTGTGAATTAATTATTTTCATATTTCTCAAACTCAGTTCTGGGCCACATTCCACAAACTGGTTAAGGTGGTATAACTTCTATAAATCTATTTTGAGATGTGGGCGTTATGACATAGTAGTACTGAGATTCCTTCGTGGAAAGAGGCCCTAAAGAGGTTGTGGTGTGATACATGTATAATGGTACTTATAGCATAGTGTGTCTTCTTTATTGCAGGTTGATGACCTGCTGTTTATTTGTATGAATGGAGATGACAGGGAGACAGAATATGCCTTGGATAGAAAAATCCTCATATTCCTGAAACTTGTTGGGTTTATGTTTGGTCCCATCACAGATGAGTAAGTACATTATGTATGTCTATCCAGGTTTATTTCTAGCTGTGAACAGAGGCCGATATTTGGACCATCTTTGCAACAAACGTCAGTAAAATAAGATTTATTTAAAAAAAGTCCCATTGATGATTTTTCCCAATTTTCCTGCTAAGGGCATTTGTTTTGGAATCCTAGATAAATTTTGTTAATCTTTTCAGTACCTATTTTATTTAACCATAATCACTTATAGTGTATGTACATCACAATGCCGCGACATGGAGGATTGTTTCTTGTGCTATCAAATTTGCTCAGATTTAAATGAATTACAGGCTGCCATAGTATTGCCAGAATATTGCTAACCGACATGGAATAACATTCACTCACTCACTTTGTTGTAGAATTGGTCACTCTAGGTTTGAGGACAAGAAGGCAAGATGGAACTTTCTGAAGAGACTACTGGACACTTACTCTAAATTATCAAAACAAGACCAGTGTTATCTTGTTGAGGTAGTGTGGTACTTTTTCTGGTCATTGAAATTATGCATCCATAGATACGCAGGTTTTAGATCTGGTGTTTGCCACCAGTTTGCGTAATAACCCAAGTGAGTCAAGGAAATCATTGTCAGCTGCTAATAATGATGCATATTTTTAAGGTAAATTTAACCTCACTGCTTCAAGGTCTACTTACCCTATCTCACACGTTAAATGCCCCCCGGCCATCGCCGCCTCACAACCCCTCTAGCCTGTTAGCTCTGACGAAAGAGAATGATGTGGCAGGGGTAATCACGTGATCAGGTCGTGTTTGTCGCAATGCACAGGATTACAGTGCATGACCCATCTGTTTGGGTGGTGACCATGGTGATGCTGGGATCTGTTTGGGTGAATTGTTTTAAGAGGCTGGAAACTCTGTCCAAGCACATTTCCACATGGGATTGAAGAAGAAGAAAAAATGTGAGATAGGATAAGTATTATGCAATTTTCAATTGTCATTTACCATTGAATCAAACACCATGCACATATAACACTTATCAGTATGTTCTTAATGCATAACCAAAATATTACAACATTCAAAGTATCATTTAACCCAAATAACAATTGTTCTTTCAGGCTGTTGAACGACTTCATGTGAACCAGCTTGTGAATGAGAAGTGTATCGAGCTGTTGGAGAAGGTGATGAGGGTGACCGAGGACCTGCTGTCCAGACCGGCTCAACATTCCCTGCTGCTGGTCAACACCAAGTTGATGGCCCTGTACTCAGAGTACGTACACCTGTACTGTATCTTAGTTCAAACGTCAATGAAACTCAAACTTTGTTGATAATAGTTACTAGGCATTTATATACCCATTCCTGCGCTGCTGAAAATATGTACTGTCATGCACATATTCAGCCTTGTAACGGGCGCATATAAGAATTTGTCAGGGTGTGCTTGTTAGAGCAGGATATTTATTATTGTGAATACGGTATGTCAGATGAAGGTGTACTGTTATTGAAGTTATACAGTGTTGAATACAAATATGAAAGATAATTTGATTGTTCCTTCTTGCCTGTCCAGTTTGTGTGCTGTTGTTGGATGCTAGGGATTGCCCTTTTAGATTTTTCATACCAGTGAGTTTGCTCTGTGTAATGATATTCAGTTAGGTCATGGTTGGAAGCAAGATCAAAGGCACCGCCACTCATTTAATACACAACAGGTTGTGCTTACATTATCACTCACATTGGTATGTTTTTATGGTAACAGCAAGCCCTTTTGACCTTGTGTTATAACTATACTTGAACAGTATTCCAGTTATATCACGGCGTGTCCGAAGTGATGCTGGTCTCAGACGTTTACCACTTTGGTGAAACCCATGAGCATGGGTATGGTGCTGACACACCTAAAACCTAATCAGGGCGGTCTGGGATTCAAAACCCATGATGATAGGTTTCTGGCATTCCCAAGAGACACAACTTAGACTACTGGGACCATCGTTCCCACTCATCACATGAGGAAAAGGGGAAGCAAATTTTGATTTTAAGCCTTTTGTAATGAATACATTTGTTTTTATATAATGTTTTTCTTAATGTTTGACTTTATTGTATTTTCAAGTCGTACAGCCTCTGAGCTTCAAGCAGCAGACATCTTAAGCATCATTCTCCTGATCCAAGACATCTTCCCATCCAATGAGACACTGGAAGATCTGTTCTCCCACTCTATCTCTATTCCAACCATCAACAGGAAGAAAACACGTTCATTCATTCCTTCAACAGCTAGACAAGTGTCAGATCGCAAAGATGAATCAAGTGATCAGGAGGTGAGAGACTACTCAAATATTTACATTAGCAGTGTAGAATTGAGATTGTTTGAATCCTGGCTAGAATAGGTGCAGCTTAATTGATCAGGTGGTCAGACTCTGTGACTTGGTTGACTGCTTGTTGTCCTACCTAGACATGGAATGTTGCTCATAGTATCAATGGCTGGTGTGTCTGGTGCAGATTGGATTAATTACAGGCCACCATCATGTAGCTGGAATAGTAGCTGGAGTGTGCAGTTAACCTTCAGCCTGCTGAATTGTTTTGGCATAAGACACTGTAAAGAGGGTGGACGATTTCAAACAGTCGGTGCTTCATCAAACAACTGCCAATTTAAGAAATATTTTGCACATTTAATCCTGATAGAAAACTACACATTACTAAATAAAAATATCCAGATGTTTTCAATCATACCAAGGTAAGACCAAAGCGAACACAAAATTTGGAACTTTTCTTGAACTTACCTGAATTACGTTATTGGCGGTGGTTTGAGTTTCATGCTAGGAACCTTTTTAAACAACAAACCAACAAAGACTGTTCAAAGAAGTTGTTGCATAGCTTTGGAAATGCCCAACAGAATCGCTGAGAAAGGGAATTGGTCTTATGCCATATATCAGCAATAATTCATAAATAATTACATTTGGATTATAGGGTTTGCATTGGTCATAGGCATACAGATAGGATATAGTCTTGCAAAGCAGCCGCACATGATGCATGGTTAGTTGGTCTGTCAAGGTGATCACTCATACGGTTACACTTGTTTAACTTTATTGATAACTCAGCACGTGGATAAACATGAGTCAGGTCACACACATGACACGAAAACATGTTCAGCCCAAAATCATCAGCGATTTGTCTTCGGATGAAAATGAGCCAAGGTCATTCAAAAACTGTCTTGAATGTTCCTGTTAACTCTAGTTCATGTAGCTGTCATCTTGATTTGGTCTCGTTAAGTATAATTCGAACGTGAGTGCTTTCAAGATACGCTTTAGTGATACTAAAATGTCTTCCATTGCACTGAACATCATGTTGGTCTTTCTTGAATAGCCCTCAGCAAACAGTTGATACTGAGAAAGCAAGAAGTAGGAGTTTGGGCCATCTCAAAAGGTCTTAATCTACCATTGTGCTCTTTCAGTTCCACAGTGCTCCAACAACACCAAACAGTGAGAGGTCACACACCCCTGCAGACACAGACCAGACAGACGCCATTAGGACAGCTGAGACTGGGACAACCAGTAGCACAGAGGTGAAGCAGACACAAGAGCAGACACAACAAGTAGACAATCAGTCTGTCAGCTCAACAGAGGTGAAGGGTGACCAGATGCGATCAGGAGACAGACAGTCAGACGTGGAAGCAGACAGTAAGCCAACACCAGCTGAAGATGGTCAGTCTGTAAAATCAACAGAAGTGAGGGCAAACCATGGTCTGACATCATCCAAGGACAGTCAGTCAGACACTGTCAGTACATCGGAGGCACAGGCAGACACTGTGCTAGAAGACAGTCAATCAGATTGTGTCCAAACAGCAGAGGTTTCGCCAACAGTTGACAGCCAGGTGGAATCTCGCAGTACATCAGAATTGAAGACTGGCAGTGAGCAGACCTTCACTGACACAGATGATGTGCCCAGTACATCAGGTGAACATCCAGAGAAGGACTTCATATATGTTTGCATCCGATGTGGGATTTCATGAAGATGTTTCAATAACATAAACCCTAATGTTTCAGTTTTTGCATTTTCCTCCTATTTCAGCAACTCCCACCTTGATGAACACGGAGTACCCGATCCTGTCTCCCACAGAGGGAGGCAACTTCTTCAGATCCAGGATAGAGTTCCAGTCTAGACTTAGCGCCAACGTGCTTGTAAGTTTGTGATCACCTATAGCAATAACCCTCTCCTTCTGACTCTAGTACTTCTCTGGGCCCCATCCAACAAAGCGATTGTAGCGCTACGACTGTTGTAAGTCTATGTTAAAGTATGGGAGTTACGATCACCTGAGCGCTATGACTGTTGTAAGTCTATGTTAAAGTATGAGAGTTACAAATGTCTTGGTCCTACGTTTGGTTTGTTGAATGGGGCCCTGTACAAAGATTCATGTTTCTTGTATATAACACAAAGTCATGTGTCATGATGATCAGTAGTTTATCTTAGCAATGTCCTTCTGAACATCATTTATTCACCCTAGTACCTCATGCTTGTATCAAGAACCAGTTAAGATGGTGGTTGGGTGATCAGGCTCTGTGACTTGGCTCATTGACTTGCCTGGTCCACAATTGATTATTTACAGGCCATGATACAGCAGGAATTTGCTGACGTCAGCATAAAACAACAATCAGACAAACTTTATGTATTGAGAAGTGTTCCAATCTAAACCAGTTCGCCTCCACCTCTCCCATACAACAAAAACACTTTTTATCCTCCCCGGCTCCATGAAGTTGGCGGGGGATATAGAAACGGGCTCTGACTTTCCATCACGTTTCGTTTCCAGATCAGAACCATAAAAGATAACCTTAACAAAAACTTGGTACACACATTCGCATTATGGTGTAAATGTGTCTTTTACTATTTTGGTTTCTCCTACATTTTTTAAATATTTTTTAGAATTTTTTTAAATGTGGACTTGTACTCTGAACTGAATGGAAACATTGAGTTTCATTTCTGGAGCAGAACTTGAAAACTGTTGGAGATATCTTTATGAAACGTGGTACAGACATTTACCATATACTGGTAGTGCAGATGTGCCTTTTGCTATTTATGATTCCTCCTAATTTTTCTTTTATTTTATATGAATTTTATGAATTTGGACTTCCCTGAACTGAGTGAAAGCAGTGGGTTTCATTTCAGGAGCAGAACTGGAAAATTATTTTGCAATATCTTTAAGAAACTTGATAAACACTTTAACCCTTTTGTGTAGATGTGCCTTTTGCTAGTTATGATTCCCTAAATTATTTTGTTTTTATATAAATTTAGACTTGAATGGAATGGAAGCAATCTTAATTATTTTACCTCAGTTCTGTAATGTACTTCTCCATGAAACTTTGTACAATATCAGCCTAAGGCTGTTATGGAGACATTGTTCATTAAAGATTTTAAGAGTTTGGTTCATTTTCTCATTTCAGTTATATGGCACAAAAGACTTAAGTAGACACTGCAACAAACAAAGCTGTAAAAGGTTTCATAGTAGATGTTTTAGAAATTCACCAGGTTTTGAGGAGTCCGCATGCTCACCACTTTCGTACCTTATCTGTACTGTGTACTCTGGTGACTACCTGTAAAGGGTAGGGCTGCAACAATACCTGCCTGTATAACAATGCTCTACAATAAAATTCATGCTATCTAAATGAGTGAATTGTGCAGTGCTCAAAGATACAAAATGTTTGTAGTCATCACATACTGAAAGATGATTTTAACCTTTGTTTATCATTACAGTCTTACTAAAACATATTTGTACAAAGTATTTTGGAGATGTTATACAGTAGCTCTTGTATTCAACCTCTTCCACAAGAAGGTAGACAAACGGATAAATTAGAATGTCACATTTGATTGCACATACCATTGTCTTTAAGATTGGACAATGGGTGGGGGATAAAGATGACTATTTGGTTTGCTGTGGTACACCGTATGTTAGTGAAGTAACATTTATTGACAAGTGTTCAAATCTGTTCCAGTCGTCCGCTTCCTCCAGTGAGGGTAGGGGCAGATCCCGTGCTGGGACTGCTATGTCTGAGGAGCCGTCTACCAGGAACACCCAGCCAGACAGATCCCCCATCAATAGAGACTACTGGAGGCAGATGGTGTTCCTGAGAACACCATCATGTACCTTCTTCCCCCACCAACTTCATTGTACCCAGGTCTTGCCTGGTATTGTCCTGATCATTGTCATTGAGGTGAGCTGATGTAAATGGATGTTACCCCCCACGCATCCACTGTACCCAGGTGCTGTTTGGTATTGTCCTGATCATTGTCATTGAGGTGAACTGATGTTAATGGATGTTACCCCCCCCACACATCCACTGTACCCAGGTGCTGTGTGGTATTGTCCTGATCAGTGTCCTTGAGGTGAGGACAGCCTCTGTGGTCTAGTGGTAGAGCGGAAAATCCGAAGTTTCGACCCACGGCCGCATTATACAAAAGGAGGTTAAAAGATGGTACTTGTTTTTACCCTGTCTGGCGCTCAGCATTAAGGGGCTAAAACAAGGACTGGTTGGCTTGGAGTCAGTATACTGTGTCTGAGTGGGGTATTCATGTTAAACTGCAGCATGGTATCTCAGTGGGCATCAGTCCAGACTAGTGCGTGCAAGCAATAATCTAGGTTGCGACATTAAACCCTATTTCACCTCACGTCACCCACCTTAAGGTGAGCTGATGTCAGCTAATGTTACCCCTCCCACACCAGCTTTACTGTACTCAGCTCCTAATGTTATCCTTGCCTGGTATTACCCTCGCACAGCAGCTTCACTGTACCCAGGTCCTGTGGTATTGTCCTTGAGGTGAGCTGATTTCAGCTCATGCTGCTCTTCTCTCACCAGCTTCACTGTACCCAGGGGTTGCCATGCATTGTGCTAGAAATCGTCATTGAAATAGTAAATGAATATGTCCATACACTTGTGTTGGGTGTTTCAGTACATGATATGTAGATGTCTTTATGACTCAATATTTGACATAGATATGACTGCTTGCACAGACTGTTGGATGTAGATGTTTGGATTGTGTGTTGCAGGGTCGACATGGACAGATAGCTCCCCACCTGTGCCAGATGTTTCAGTTCATTAAGGATCTTCTGACTGGGGAGAAGGACAAGCTGAGCAGAGCAAGGGGGGAGATGCTGTACGATGTCATGAACTCACTCCTTGCTAGAATACAGGGGACACTAAAGAAGGTCAAGGTCAGTCATGTCAGCTGGCTGCTGTATCAGTATCATCGAATGATGTCCCAAAGATGTATGGCCTGTGTCTTTGTGAAATTATTATTGAGTTGTGTTTCACATGAATATTAAGACAGAATATGGCCCCATACGCTGTGCCTGTTGTAGGAACCAACTCAAATTATCTGGTGGTCACTGCTGATCTTGCTTGCTATGTGCATATGACTGGATGGATTGTTGCTCATGCTGTCGATCACTGGATTGTCTGGTCCAGATCGATTATTGACAGACAGCCGTCATATAGCTCGAATATTTCTGAGTGCGGCTTTAAACAACAAACAAACAAACATGATTCCCAGATTTCATTGTTGGGAGGCCTAGTGGATGATAGACATGCTGATGACCCCATGTTGTTGCTGAATTAGAACTGATCCCCAGGTCCTATGGCTTGTTTGATAATGTGGCAACATACCAGTAACTGAAGTCATGGACCAATGCTCATGGATCAGAGCTCAATCGATTACTGGATTGTCTGGTACAGGCTGCAATCATATACATGTAGCTTGAATATTGCTGAGTGTGGCATTAGACAAATAACAAACAGTCACATGCTGTTAGATTAAGCAGTAATAGCTGTATCATCTGAGTTGCAGGAATATAGCTGTTATGTGTTGCAGGGAGATGTGCAACGTGTCATGAATGATGTGAGACGGAAGTGGGACAACGATGGTCTGAAGAACAGCCTCCTAGCTTATCTTGAGGAGGAACCAGGGGTGGAAGTCTCCACTGGGTGAGTATCCAGCTGTCTCGAGTTCCTTTCAAGTTTTATGTAAGTGTGTAATAAAAAGTTTACTTCAATTAATGTCTCTCAGACAAAATGTCAAGTTAATAATGTCATGGTCATTAGCCACCCAAAGAAAATAAAGGACTACATTATGTGCATACACCGGTTATAGAAAGTCTGTACATATGGTTTGAAAGAAGAACAATGCAGTGTTTGTAGTTGAATATGCATGCCCTTTATGGTGTATCCTGTTGTGTGTTTGGTGGTCATGTGTTTTTGTAATGCTGTATTGTTAATTAATACGGGGTGTTTGAGTAGCCCAGTGGTTAAGACATTTGCTCATCTAGCAGAGAATACAGGTATGAGACTCCACATGGGTACAATGTATGGACCCCATTCTTGGTGTCACCCTTCATGGTATATATATTGCTGAAGTGTCATTAGTTCATACTACCTCACTCTATTTATAAGTTGAGCTGCAGTGCCTCTGCATCAATTGAGAGTATCAAGGTACTTTGCCCTATGTTGCAGCCGATGTCACATTCAGAGCCGATGAACAGTACAAAGTTTATCACCGTAGTTACATAGTAAGACTAGCTTTTGTCATACTTCAATATGAGACAACACAATATGAAACAATACAATACAATACAATACAGCGCTGTGTTTCAGGCTGGAGACGTCCCTGTCGGAGCTGATGAAGAAGCTGAAGGACCTGTTCTCCTACCTGTTCCTGTCCCCACAGACTGTCAACACCAGATTCCGGGAGGCGACTCAGATGCTGAGAGACAAGATCAAGAACGAGCTGTCTGACTATAAACACTACCTATCAGTCAAGGCTCAGAGGAACATCCCAATGACATCGTATCCTTTCTTCATCAACTCACATCATTAGGGAACTGACTATTTTGCAGTGGTGACAGATGGCACAGGTGTCAGGTCCAGTGTGGCATCCACAGCAAATAAGGATGATGTTTTTTGAGCATATTTGGGGTGGTAGACTTGTGGTAAAAATGTTCACTTGTCACACAGAAAACCCGGATTTTTTTTGCCCACATGAATACAATGTGATATGGATTGCTCACTCCCTCACTCACTCACTCACTCACTCACTCATAGTGTTTCATACATTGCAAAAGAGCATCATCGCCTGCACAGATGCAAATAACTTAAAAAAAACAGACCAAATTTGCATTTTCTTGTAAAAAGGCTAATATTTAACATACTACTACTTACAGCTGTACCTTGTCTCTCTCTCTCTCTCTCTCTCTCTCTCTCTCTCTCTCTCTCTCTCTCTCTCTCTCTCTCTCTCTCTCTCTCTCTCTCTCTCTCTCTCTCTCTCTCTCTCTCTCTCTCTCTCTCTCTCTCTCTCTCTCTCTCTCCTCTCTCTCTCTCTCTCTCTCTCTCTCTCTCTCTCTCTCTCTCTCTCTCTCTCTCTCTCTCTCACACACACACACACACACACTATTTCACCTGTTCATTTACCATGTTTAACTGCATGGTTCTTAACTGGTGTAAGATACCTGGATGAGTTCCCCGGTATGGTCCACTTCATCTACATTGACCGTCAGTCCAACCAGCTGACTGCTCCGTCCCTCAACATCACCCTGGAGGAGACGGGCAAGAAGGATGCCACGAGCCTGCTTAAAAATAAGGTGGGTGTGGGTGTGGGTGTGGGAGAGAGATAAACTGGGTACCACGTGTACAGGAGGAATATATCTTTTACCCAGATTCTGGGAGGAGAGGTGGTGGAAGGGGTGATTAACTGGAGTACCTTGTGTATTGGAGGAATATATCTTTTACCCAGATTAGTTGGGGGGTGGAGAAGGGGGATAAACCAACCCTGCATTGGAGGCTGCTTAATGTGAACCCAAAGCAGACTTGAACTGCCTAATCATAGTGCTGGATGCATGTGTGTTTTTTCAAGCCAATCAGATGTCCGCTTTCAATTTGGCTTCACCGTCACACTGGCAGGCTTGGACAGGTCTTCTCAGGCATAGGAAAAATGAAACCATTTCGAAAGAAACATTTTGTGTCATTGATGGAAAGTGAGAGTTATTCCTTGAAATTGCTTGATTGAAAGACACATCTTTAACATCAGAGTTTAAGATATCCACAACAAAGTGCAAACATTATTCAGACATAAAGTGCAGATGCTGGCCCATTGGCTGGGGTAATAATGTAGTGCTTTGAGCATGCTTTAGGGTGTGGATTAGGCACGTTATAAATTTGCACATAATTACATGTCTGACAAGGCTCACAATATGTGTTATATATCTCCATATAGGCATACAAGTATGTGTTCATTGCTACATGCAAATAGTTCATATTTCACACTCACTAATAGTTACATTTATTTCAAAACAGAGTATGTGCTAAAGATGATTTCTATCATCATCTGATGAACTGATAAATTGTATGACCAGATGATGGGGTATAGGCTGCTACTTTGTCAACACATGGAGAGATATACTAGTATAATTATATACTCACCAACAAAAGAAACATAAATATCAGATATGTTGGTTAATAGATGAAGAATTACTCATTTTCAAGATATATTAGATCAGTTTCATTCGCAAACGAACATACTGTTCTGTTGTGTGAACAGACACTCATGAACGCATCACATGTGACGTCATAGGTCCATGACTCGAGATGCACCATTTGTCTCCTGCAGGATTATCGCATAAAGTTTAGAAATCATGTGCAGCATATCATGATAAGAATAAAGACACACTGTGGTTACACTTGACTGATTGTTAGTTTTGTCATTAAGTGGTACACATTGGAAACATCTCTTCTTAATGTACATACTTCTCTATATGTTTCTATGTTTCGTGTTTCTTATGGTGGTGAGTATATATAACCAAAGATTACTCTTACATTTTGGTTTCAGTGTATTTGTAATAAAGTCAAAGTCATTCTTCTATCTTTCCATTTGCTTTGAAAACAGTATAACATGGTCAATATGACAAATATATTGACATGCTTTTGTGTGTTTGATTTTGTGCACATATGACTGTGTAGTGCCTAGATGCAGTACAGTGCTGGTGTGTTGATGTAGGTGTGGGTGATGGTGGAGCAGATGATGGTCAAGTTGACGGAGGGGTACACGTCAATCATGTTCCGAGACGGGGACTTCTACTACTCCTACTTCCTATGGTTTGAAGATAACACGGTGAGCTGGTACAGCCACCCCATGCTTCACTATGTGCTGGCTGTCACATTTATATATGGCTTGCTGTTTTATAACTAGGGTGGATATGATTTGAAGGATGTTTTTACGTCTCATTGCCTTAGTTACACAAATGCTCCATACTTCATTTAGTGCTTGCAAGCAGTTAATTTTTTTTCAAGTGCCATTGTATCAACCGTTTCTCTTTCTTGTTTCATTCCCAAATAGGAATTGTGAATTTGTATATTTTGCAACTAGATATCGATAATTGGTGTCTGAAGTGTAATGTCATGTTATTGCTGTTCATTGTAAGAAATGTGGAATATAATATATGAAGCAAGGGTTTGTTATTGCTATGCTGATATTTGTACTTCAGGGTAACCCTCTTCCAGTGCAGCTGCCCTTTAAACCTAGCCATGACATGCCTCCTCCTGGAATACTCACTGGGACATTCTTCAGGTAAATAGTACATCAGCATTCTTCAGGTAAATAGTACATCAGCATTCTTCAGGTAAACTGTACATCAGTATTCTTCAGGTAAATAGTACATCAGCATTCTTCAGGTAAACTGTACATCAGTATTCTTCAGGTAAATAGTACATCAGCATTCTTCAGGTGAACTGTACATCAGTATTCTTCAGGTAAATAGTACATCAGCATTCTTCAGGTAAACTGTACATCAGTTTTCTCCAGGTAAATAGTACATCTGCATTCTTCAGTCTGTCCACAAGAGTCTTGATTAAAAGCACTTTTCCTCTTATCCTTGTCACAAAACATCTCTTTGAAGCTGAAGTCAATGACAAGTTAACATAGTTCAGCATTAGAATGTACCTGTCTACAGTTGTATGATCCCATCTGTTCACTAAAGCTTTCTTCCTTCATTCAACTTCAGACCCTTGAAGATCCAGATTAGAATAGGTCTTCAGCAACCCATGCTTGCCGTAAAAGGCGACTATGCTTGTTGTTAGAGGTAACTAATGGGATCAGGTGGTGAGGCTCACTGACTTGGCTGATGCATGTCATTGTATCCCAATCTCATGGATCGATGCTCATGATGTCAATCATTGGATTGTCTGCTCCAGACTTGATTATTTACTGACCACCATCATGTAGCCTGAATATTGCTGAGTGCGGCGTTAAACAACAAACAAACAAATCATTGAACTTAATATGAGAAGTCCAGTTGAACACATGCACTAACTGAAAGTCGTGTTTTTGCCTGCAGACAGCTGATACAGAAGTGCTTCCCGAACTCTGTGCAGGGTAGTGTCCACTGCTATGAGCTGTACTTGATGCACGTTGGCCTGGTCCATCCGCAGTACATTGCATCACACTGTCGCCAACTGGCCCGCAAGCTCTGGGAGATGTCTGGAGAGCCGTACACATCCATCAGTCTCTTGTGAGGACGGACATCTAGAGCGTTTTTAGGAATGCATACTGGTGACAGCATATGTCCGGGGAACATCCGTCTGTTCTTGTGTGGACGGACATCTGGACCACCGGGGGAATGCGTACTGGTGACAGCATCGGACCGGGGAACACTCATCAGTTCTTGAGATGACGGCAATCTAGACCATTTGTAGGAATGCGTGCTGGTGTCATCATCGGACCGAGGAACACACGTCAGTTCTTGTGATGACGTCTATCAGGACCACTTGTAGGAATGTGTACTGTTGACAGCATCAGACCGGGGAATACATATCAGTTCTTGTGATAAAGATCTGGAGCTCTTGAAAGAATGGATACTGGATCAATGAACCATGGAACACCCATTAGTTGCTTGTGATGATGACCTTGACCTTTGGCAGGATAAGGAAATGGTGACACCTTCACCATTGTACCAAGAAACACCCACCAATGTTAGCCTCTGTCGAGACCTCTTTTAGGAATGGATCCTGTTGACCTCAGACCATGAAACCCTTTGGTATCTTGTGAAGACTACTTGGACCTCTTATGGGAAAGGGTGCCAGTGACAACATTTGACTCTGGAACACACATTCCTTCTCCTTCCTACTCCCACCTACTTGGAGATTCTGAGAGCAGACTGGAGCAGACATGTCATGGCTTGTTCTGAGAGGCAAATAGAATTTGGATCAGGTAGAGACAATGGCTGATGAATATGTAGTAATGTGGGATGGGTGACCGTCATCCTCAATCTCCAACCCTTAAGACGGTATAATTGCATGATTTGGTTTTCCATCTCTGCCAGTGTTTTGTCTGCTCCAGACCTGCTCTCAGACCAGAATGATACTGATAAGATACCTTTCACTATTCGTAGATATTTGTGAAAGTTACTGAAGAATTATTTTCTTTCCTTTAAGCTTACGAGGTTGTTGTGATATTTGTGCAATGGAAATAATTCATAATGAGGCTACTGCAAGTTGGCAATAGTTTTATACTATGTTTTTGTTATTTACCCGAGAGAATTTGTTTTTGTTTTTTTATTGTGTGCATATTTGTAAAGAATAATATATTGCTTTCTGTTGAAAGACTGGGCTATATATCATAATATATATAAATATATATGCCAGTTTACAAAACAGTTACTCAAGGATAAGCGAGCTTCGGTATCTATTGCTTTCTAGTATATAGGAACAGAACATGTATATGTCGGTGCTCGATTTTGTTTGTTAATGATATATTGTTTACATGCATGATGTAACATACAGTTTTATCTGATTATATATTTATATACTATACCTGTTAATGATATGCATATCAGTGGTTTTACAAATCTTGTAAAATAGAAAATCACGACGATTAATAAACTGTCAAAGCAGTGTCTGTGTTTTGAAGGCACCTCCAAATTGGTGATTGAGTATGGTTTTTCACTGCTTTTAGCAATATTCCAGCAATATCACAGTGTAGGACACCACAAATGGGCTTCACACATTGTACCCATGTGGTGAATCGAACCCAGGGCCCTGTTCCACAAAGTGATCTTAGCGCTAACTCCCATTCTTTAACACTGACGAGCTAACGCTTTAACTACTTGGCTACCCTACCACACAATATTACCGTCATTATTACTGTGGCATGAAAGCAATTTTGAATGGATCACGCAACTGTGGCTAATAGGTTGATCAATGATTCATGCCTTTTGTCATGATACTATACTATCAGCTTGGTCACACAGTGCTACCAGATCAGCTGTCAAAAAGTATGAAATACCCAGGACATTTCTGCCCTATATTACCATACAAGTTAACTTCCAGGACTAGATTTAGTAGATACATGAATAATCATCTATCCAGTGGTTTTTGTCTCCATTCTGTTAACCAACTCGAACCAACCCACTAAAGGCCCAACTGTCTTTAAATCCTGAGGAACATGTAGCTTGAGCGACACTGGTGAGGTGAGGTGAAATTGGGTTTAACGTCACATCCAAGATTATTGCACTTATATAGCGATGTGCATGCACATGTGTGTGGCTGCTTGTACTAGTCCGGACTGATGATGATTTATAGTGCTAGCACACTGAGATACCATGCTGCAGTTTAATATGAATACCCCACTCCAACATGCCACGGAGGCAGTATTGAGCAACACTGTTGTGTATTTATAGGTGTACATTATTGGGACATTATTGTACTACAAATCCAGCTAATAAACATCAGGTGGTTACAGTGTGTGTCCTGGCTGATTGTGTGTCTATCATTCCCCAGTACACCACTGGGTTGCCTGGCCCAGATTCAAAATCTTTCAAGCCAATGTGATATGGCTGTAATAGTGTTGATTACAGCATTAAAGAACAAAAATGGGGTTTAACGTCGCGTCCAAGATTATTGCACTTATAGTGACGTGCACACATGTGTGTGGCTGCTTGTATTAGTCCGAACTGATGCCAAATTTACAGTGCTAGCCGCAGTATAACATGAAAACCCCACTCGTCATACTGACTCCAAGCCGACCAGTCCTTGTTTTACTCCCTTAATGCTGAGCACCAGAGAGGGTAACAACAAGAACCATCTTTTTAATGTCTTTATATGACGTATGACGTGGCTGGGGATCCAACCTTGGACCTCCGGGTGGACACAGACCACGGAGGCAGTCTCACTTGCTCATGAAGCTGGGAAAATGGTACAACCATTTTACCTCATGTAGTCACTTTACACCAGGGAGGCAATGCTTTAATTTCAAGCCAGCATCAACATTTATTGTGTTTAGTTATCAAATAAACATGACTCATTCTTATGCTGTACAAATTTTAATAAAAATATATGATACAAATTTGGTATGTATTGCAGTAGAAATATATGTAAACAATGCTCATATAATGTGACAGTTGTGGACATTTGATGGAAATGTGCTGTAATCTGCTGGTTTTAAACCATCTGGACAGAAATGAGTTAAATCATTTTCAAACCATCTCATGCTGGAAACTAACAACAACAAGAACATACACAGAAGACTTCAATTCAGTCATGTGGCAAGATGCAAACAAGGAAGTGAAACTTGTTATATTTTATAACTGAAATAAATAGCAAATAATATACTGGCATCATTTGTTCAATATACCTAGTGCATGCTAAAGCAAACAAAAGTTAACTCATTATATTCAATTAATAAGATGATAGAAGTGTATTCCCCTTGCCCATGCATATTTGTATTATAGATCCGAGTTAAATACATCTGTAAGTAACTCGGGTACTTGGGTACTCCGGTTGGTTGGTTCTGATTAGGACCCGGGTACTCACGCAACTACCCGGAACTGTGGTAAGTCACGTGATATACTGTTAAATGACATTAACAATAAACTCTATGGTTACACCACTTCACATTCACATTCTTTCTGACTGTGCAAGCATTCACACTTTCTTATGTTAGTATAAGGATAAAGCGTATATCAACTTCAGTGAATGCATGATCAGATTGTTTGATACACATATCTAAATAGTTTTTACCAGGACTGCGGTAAAACAATTCCCATTCAGATATTTTGTACCCAACTATTGAAACCTGCAGTGGGTACCCAGGTAGGGCCGGGTAATAGGGTGTCGAGTACCTGTGTAGTAAATTTGGACTTGTCCCAGCCCTATTAAGTAGTTATGATGTGATGCTTAATTATCAAGAATGACATTGTTCAAAGGAGTGTCATTACTTGTAGGTTTTCTTCACTACTGTACATTTTGATTTCTCTAACAGATGTAACACTAGGATTAGTCCTATCAAGTTTCACATACCTAGGTCCGACATTTGGCAAGCCCAGCCTGTGTTTGAAACAAAGACATGTTACAGAGGCATATCCAGGACTTCTTTCGAAAGGGGATGCACACTACCCATGTCATGAACGAGCAAACACACACGATACAGGGACTGATAGAAGTTGGAAGAATGGGGTCTGCACAAACACACCACCCCTCCTAATCCACCAACGTGTGAGTGCAACTACACTATGGTTACAAAGTGATCAAAATATACACATCAATGAAACATTTTCATTACATATCTTCCAAAGATAAAATTATACTTGTTTCTTAACAAGATTGTTTAATTAATAAAAAAATATATCAGAGCTATTCTGATTCATAGGTAGCACACTTTTTCATATGGGAAATAATAAGCCCACTGATAGTATTGACTTTCAAAAATGTTTCTAATTTACCTGAGACAACATTATTTCGATTATTCCTTCATAACAGGATTGACAGTTTGGCAATATAGCACCGAATTTGCTGACCTTGCAAATCTCACTATTAGATATTAAAGCATATGGTATTGATAATAGTCATGAATCCTTGGTATATTTGACTATTTTCCTCAATAGATTATTTTAATAGATGACAACCTGTCAACCATGTACCATTGAGGTCTAATGCCCATGCAATCAAGATATTCCAAGTAACTTGGTTTGTTTGTTTGTTGTTTAACGCCACATTCCGCAATATTCCAGCTATATGACAGCGGTCTGTAAATAATCCAGTCTGGACCAGACAATCCAGTGACTAACATGATCATCCAGTTATGTTTGTCTTTGGTTGTCCTAAGAGGTGATGAACAGAAGATTTATGTCTGATTTGTACTGTGCAGACACAATGAAAAGCTACTATAGTGACAGAGCATATAAATAACACAAATAGTGTTCACTGAAAACAGCTAAGCTAATTGTACTTGCAACATAAAGTGTACTTGAAATATATCAATCACAAAGGTAAAACGGTTGATACCCCCACGTATTGTATATTATTACCAAGGTTTTCAACATACACAAGACAGAATTTATGGCAGCTTTTGTGGTCTTGGTACGTTAAACTAATTCTATAGCAGCAGCAGAATTGGAGATCAAGTTATCTGGCAAAAACTAGTGGCGGGACGATACACTCATCCATGGATCACGATTTTTTTACTTCTAGATACAAGTATCGATCACAATTGCACACTCAGTGAAAAGTATCAATTCTTACCATAAATGTATTCATTAATAAAAGAATACACCAAACACTAATTACTAGTGAAAATGAGAAGTGAAAACATAAATATTTTCATCCATGGCGCCGTATTGACACTGCCAACATAAAATCGTTAGTGGCCAGGTATTCAGCCATCCTGTCTAGGACAAAGATGGCTTACGCACCACAGATAAAAGCACATGCAAGTACTGTGATACGTATCGGATCGTCAGCAAGGTATCATGATACGTATCGGATCACATGTTTGGTTTATCGTCCTAGCCCTACTAAGAACAGAAATTTTTTATCCTTCCAAAATATGTCCTTGATAGTTGACAAACAAGGTACCGGGGTAAACTATTACCCTGCAAACAAAAATACTCCTGCATAACCTGCTAAAGCTAGGCATAAAATAAAACTATTTTAGCACTTTCATATAAATTATCAGACAAATATTTAAGAATAGCCAATCCATTAAAAACACATACATATCTGCATATCATATAAATGCAGATGGTCAAAAATGGAAGCAAAAATATTGAACAACTTTCATAACTCGGTTATTACTTTGCGACAAAATATAAACTGCAGACTCAAAATTGTACCATTATCAAATCTCTCAATAAAGCATATATTTGTATCATAATTTCTCCAAATTCAAACCTGTGAAAACACCTCAAAACATGTGCCAGTCTGCATGACGTTACATGTAACCCAAGGTTACCTTCAGCGGATGACTTGTAGTTGAGAAATTACTGTCACAACTACTGAGACAATGATGGGAATACACTACTTAAATACTGCAAGATGATTCCTTTAACTTGTCGTAAAACAACTTGTGTTTTAATTTGTCTTCTGAATTTCTACGTAATTAGCGGGAAACATGCCGTTCGAGCCATCCGGGGCTGTTCCAGTCCACCAGCCATCGTCGATCTGCTCAATGTTTGTGATGATGTCGTCAGGATCAAATGTTATCTCAGAATCATCAGCTGTGGAAAGACATAGTATTTGGGTTAAATAAGAAAAGCACAGCTTGTAAAACATGCATTAAAGACTCATATCCCCTGCCAACTGTATGTTCTATTTAGTGCAAGACTCAAGTCCAGACAACAAAAGCCACCGGGTCTAGTTCTAAAAGTCAGTGATAATGAATAAAAAAGACCTGATTATTATGCATAAAATAGCAAAGAGCACGAGTTAATGGCTAGACTGATGTCTGCATCGTTTGATCAAGAAATAGTGAACAGTCTTTGAGTAAAGCTCCGGAAACAAACTCTACCCTCATTTGAACCTAAGTCCAATGTGTTGTCATGGAAACCAAAAACATAATTCAAAATTTTAAAAATAGCAAAAGGCACCAGTCCATGGCTCGCTGATATATGTGCAACATCTAGAAATAGTGAACGGTCTTTAAAGTTAAGCTCTGGAAACAAATATTACTGGCAGAAAGATGAATGGACGTCGTCATCCATTCCTATTTTTCACTAGTTCCAGCTGATATCTTGACTAGAGGTTATTTGTGCCTCTTTTACAGTTTGTGTTTTCTATGAACCCTTGACTCGTACAACTTTGTTACCACCAACTGTCAGGTGACTAAATGGTTTCGAGCTTTACTTGAAAATGAAATCAGTAAGAAGCTTGCATATTTGCAGAAAGATTTTGTCTCTCGATTCTTTTAGTTCAACATTCAGTGAAGGTAAAAAATCCCAATAGTTCCAAACTTTTCTGATTAGAATTCTTGTAATACAAGGTGTGAGTTAGGAATTAACAATGTTTTTAAACATTTCTTTTGAGCAAACCCCTTCATGAACACACCTGCTTGATAGGTATATAACACAGTCATGTACCCACCTGCTTGGTAGTCGTACAATGCAATAGCAGTGAGCCCCTGGTCGCCACCAGCCTGGATGTTCCCAGCGGTGTCGTACTCCACATCGTCCTCTTCCATGACATGTGACCCGCTGCCCACAGCCTGCTGGGAAATCACCTGACCCGAGGAAGCTGAGAAATCTTCCCCTGATGGCTCTGAAGTACAATTAAGTTTAGCATGTACTGCAGACAGTCTGTTATTATTGTTACATTCATCAACAACTAGAGATGGGTGGAGATGATGCATTCAGATGCCCCACATGTCCGTCTATTGAGATATGCCCTGCTCCTTATTTTGGTTAAACCGTATATATGCAGATGGCTGCTGTAAATGTCAAATTCTTTCTGGACAGAAAGATTCTTCTCAATTCTGTCCTGACCAGATGTCTAACTTCCCCACAGTTACACAAATGTCCTCCAAACCTCCCCTCTATCACCCCAGTTCTGTCACATCCATAAGTCAATCTGCCCCACAGTTACACAAATGTCCTCCAAACCTCCCCTCTATCGCCCCAGTTCTGTCACATCCATAAGTCAATCTGCCCCCCAGATGCACAAATGTCCTCCAAACCTCCCCTCTATCACCCCAGTTCTGTCACATCCATAAGTCAATCTGCCCCACAGTTACACAAATGTCCTCCAAACCTCCCCTCTATCGCCCCAGTTCTGTCACATCCATAAGTCAATCTGCCCCCCAGATACACAAATGTCCTCCAAACCTTCCCTCTATCAGCCAAGTTCTGTCACATCCATAAGTCAATCTGCCCCCCAGATGCACAAATGTCCTCCAAACCTCCCCTCTATCGCCCCAGTTCTGTCACATCCATAAGTCAATCTGCCCCCCAGATACACAAATGTCCTCCAAACCTCCCCTCTATCGCCCCAGCTCTGTCACATCCATAAGTCAATCTGCCCCCCAGATACACAAATGTCCTCCAAACCTCCCCTCTGTCACATCCATAAGTCAATCTGCCCCACAGTTACACAAATGTCCTCCAAAGCTCCCCTCTATCGCCCCAGTTCTGTCACATCCATAAGTCAATCTGCCCCACAGTTACACAAATGTCCTCCAAACCTCCCCTCTATCACCCCAGTTCTGTCACATCCATAAGTCAATCTGCCCCACAGTTACACAAATGTCCTCCAAACCTCCCCTCTATCGCCCCAGTTCTGTCACATCCATAAGTCAATCTGCCCCACAGTTACACAAATGTCCTCCAAACCTCCCCTCTATCGCCCCAGTTCTGTCACATCCATAAGTCAATCTGCCCCCCAGATGCACAAATGTCCTCCAAACCTCCCCTCTATCACCCCAGTTCTGTCACATCCATAAGTCAATCTGCCCCACAGTTACACAAATGTCCTCCAAACCTCCCCTCTATCGCCCAAGTTCTGTCACATCCATAAGTCAATCTGCCCCCCAGATACACAAATGTCCTCCAAACCTCCCCTCTATCGCCCAAGTTCTGTCACATCCATAAGTCAATCTGCCCCCCAATTACACAAATGTCCTCCAAACCTCCCCTCTATCGCCCAAGTTCTGTCACATCCATAAGTCAATCTGCCCCACAGTTACACAAATGTCCTCCAAACCTCCCCTCTATCGCCCCAGTTCTGTCACATCCATAAGTCAATCTGCCCCCCAATTACACAAATGTCCTCCAAACCTCCCCTCTATCGCCCAAGTTCTGTCACATCCATAAGTCAATCTGCCCCACAGTTACACAAATGTCCTCCAAACCTCCCCTCTATCACCCCAGTTCTGTCACATCCATAAGTCAATCTGCCCCCCAATTACACAAATGTCCTCCAAACCTCCCCTCTATCGCCCCAGTTCTGTCACATCCATAAGTCAATCTGCCCCCCAGATACACAAATGTCCTCCAAACCTCCCCTCTATCGCCCAAGTTCTGTCACATCCATAAGTCAATCTGCCCCCCAATTACACAAATGTCCTCCAAACCTCCCCTCTATCGCCCAAGTTCTGTCACATCCATAAGTCAATCTGCCCCACAGTTACACAAATGTCCTCCAAACCTCCCCTCTATCGCCCCAGTTCTGTCACATCCATAAGTCAATCTGCCCCCCAATTACACAAATGTCCTCCAAACCTCCCCTCTATCGCCCAAGTTCTGTCACATCCATAAGTCAATCTGCCCCACAGTTACACAAATGTCCTCCAAACCTCCCCTCTATCACCCCAGTTCTGTCACATCCATAAGTCAATCTGCCCCACAGTTACACAAATGTCCTCCAAACCTCCCCTCTATCGCCCCAGTTCTGTCACATCCATAAGTCAATCTGCCCCCCAATTACACAAATGTCCTCCAAACCTCCCCTCTATCGCCCCAGTTCTGTCACATCCATAAGTCAATCTATCCCCCAGATACACAAATGTCCTCCAAACCTCCCCTCTATCAGCCAAGTTCTGTCACATCCATAAGTCAATCTGCCCCCCAATTACACAAATGTCCTCCAAACCTCCCCTCTATCGCCCCAGTTCTGTCACATCCATAAGTCAATCTGCCCCACAGTTACACAAATGTCCTCCAAACCTCCCCTCTATCGCCCCAGTTCTGTCACATCCATAAGTCAATCTGCCCCCCAGATACACAAATGTCCTCCAAACCTCCCCTCTATCGCCCCAGTTCTGTCACAGAAAAGGAGCTGAGTGTGATGTTATACAACAAACAAACAAAGACAGAAATGGAAAGAAACATATATATTTTGTTGGCTTTGCACAGATGTCCACCCAAACATCCTCCTTACCATCCCAATTTTGTTCTTCCTGTTCCTCGTCTGATTCTTGTCTTGGTGGCAGATGTTGTTGTAACAAGTTCCTAGTTTGAGGTAGCTGAGGTGCAGGCTCTGGTTCCGGTTCTGGCTCTGGTTCCTGTTCTGGTTCTGGTTCTGGTTCTGGGTCAGGCTGATAAACTGGTTCTGGTTCTGGGTCAGGCTGATAAACTGGTTCTGGTTCTGGGTCAGGCTGATAAACGGGTTCTGGTTCTGGGTCAGATTTTCGAACTGGTTTGCTCGGTGGTGAGCTTTGGGGTGGGGAAGATGGCTCCCCAGTGGGCAGTTTGATTGGCTGCTTTCCTTGTGGCTCTTCATCTCCCTGGTCTCCTGCAGACAAGAAACCTTGTCGGATTTTCCTGCAGGTTGAAGATATGATACTTTAAATTAACCATAAATGAAGTTAAAAGGACATGGTCATGATATAGTTTCATCACATACATTTTAACAAGTGTCCATATGAATGCTGTTGGACAGAGATCAATGTAAAGAAAAAAGGCAACTACATGACCTTGAAATTTTAAGAGTATGCTAGCTCCACACTTGTCATATTATATGGTTTACAGATTATTTCAGAGAAATAAATATAATTTATTTTGTGTGTGTAGCTCAAAACAGTTAAAATCTTTCTTTTTGCATAAACTTGTTTGGGTCATTAGGTGTTGATTATGGTGTGCAGTCAGGCAAATAAAAACTATACTGAATTATTTTCTGCTTGTGGGATTTGGTTCCAGTAGGTCAATGAGTAAACCAAGAAGTTGTTGGTACCTGGGAGGTGGTGGTCCCCTTCGAGGGCCATCGTCTGGCCTCTCCACACTCTTCTGCTTGAAGAAGTCTCTCGCACTACCAGAAGACGATGACAGAGCAGCAGCCTCCTGAAATATAGTCAGTATTCGTATGCATCATAATTTTTGCAATTTAACATGGATGCCTTAAGTCATATATTGACAACATACAAATATCCTAATGAATCCCATGAAAGAATATTTTGTCATCAGAGCATATCCTTCCACATACACCAAGGAGTGAGTGAGTGAGTGAGTGAGTGAGTGAGTGAGTGAGTGAGTGAGTGAGTGAGTGAGTGAGTGAGTGAGTGAGTGAGTGAGTGAGTGAGTGAGTTGGGCTTGATGCCGCTTTTAACAGCATTCCAGTTACATCACGGCGTGCCAGCTTGATGTGGGAGGAAAGCCAGAAGTGATGCATGTCTCAGATGTTTACCACTTTTTGTGAAACCCACGAGCACGGGTATGGTGCTGACAAACCTAGAAACATAATTGGGGTGAACCAGGATTCGATCCCCCACAATCGTAGGTTTCTGGTATGCCCAAGGGACGCAACTCTGCACAGTGAATTGCAGAGCCTTAGACAACTTGGCTACCCGTAACCCACATACACCAAGGAAAGTATTTTGGCATGATAAGGTCAAAGATCATGGGTGAATGAATGGCGTCCCAAGTCATTGCCGAGGGCTTTCATTCACAAAGGACATATAACCTGTAAGTCTGAGTGTTGTGTAGGTCATCATACAAACTTTCCATACACACTGAGAGAAAGTATCCCTGTGCAATGGGTTTTCGAACATCTCACTCAATTATAAAAGACGACTTTATCTTAAAATAGGCCATCATCTGAGTATTTGCAATGTCTACATGACGCCACACCCCTTGTTAAAGCACAAGTAATCGTGATAAACATGGCTATCTGAAAACGTAGGATGCCAGAAAACCTATGATCCAAGAACAAACATATGTCACATATGTACCAATGCTACAGTATCACTGCTTCAACTGATCAGTTGGATGGGAGAAAAGCTCACAGGTATGTGCAGATATCAGACCGTTACAACACTATTACATGACCCTTACGAGCAATGACAGGAAGTCCTACCTGTGCTCTTTCCTTCCGCAGGGACTCACTTCGCTTCCTCTTCCGCTCGTCATCCTTGTACGACTCTTGCTGCTCCTTCTCCTGGAACATTCATCAACACAGCACATCACAAGCATGTGACAAGCACATCCCAAGCTCGTCACAAGCACATCACAAGCGTGTCACAAGCACTTCCCAATCGCATCACAAGAACTTCACAAGCACATCCCAAGCTCGTCACAAGCACATGACAAGCACTTCCTAATCTCATCACAAGCTCATCCCAAGCACATGACAAGCACATGCCAACTGCGTGACAAGCCCATCCCAAGCTCGTTAAAAGCACATACCAAGCGAGACAAGCACATCCCAAGTGTGTGACAACTCCATCCCAAGCTTGTGACAAGTCCATCCCAAGATCGTTACAAGCACATCCCAAGTGCATGACAAGCACATCATATGCATGTAACTCAAAACTCTTCTCTTTTTGTTCAAAGATTTAGAATGAACTGTTTAATGGGTTGAAGATGGAACCATAGGCTGTCTACAGATGTTGATTGTTTGAGTTTTTCAAACATGTCAAAAACCCAATTCAATTCAAGTTTCAAATTATTTCGAGAAAGTTTTATTTTTTCCATAGTTCTGGTCAAACATCTGCATATGTCATTCCCCATTACAGATGCTAAGACGTTTGTGGCATAGTGTGAGATGTGACTTTCTGTCCAAAGTCAAATAGGCATTAAGCCAGCCCGAGACTACGCTGACAAGCTTGCGATGTGTTATGTGCACAGTAAGCATGGTGGGCAGATTGATGAAGCCGAGTCATATCATCCATACCAACATCATTAATGTGTACATTGTCAATCATTTCATATGATCACAGTTATATAATCAAAATGAAGTTAAGCAATGTTGGTCACGGCAAGTTGGTGAAACACATGTGGTGTCACCTTCTGACTGTAATGAGACTGAGAATGAAAATCGAGTGCACACAGATCCACTGACAGGGATATTAATAATGAAGCACCATAAGCATTCCCATAGTGAATGTACTTTGGCACATTATACATGGACTTACTGTCATGCCTAGGAGAATAATATCACGCTAATGGTATCTCAAGACTATTGGTCTGTCTTTAACATGGGCTGATGGCCTAAGATTGATGTCAAGTTAAAATATTGATAGTTGACATCGATACAACACAAGACTATCGATAGCCCTGACATACATAAAAACAATGAAAAATGAAGCATTTTGGAGCCATATGAAAAACTGTACAAAAATCCCCAGTAATCGACTGAGCCTCAGGTCACCAATGAGTCTCACCCATTTGTTCTTCTCGTTCTCACGGTCGACCTGGGCAGCCTCCTTCTCAGCTCGCTTCTGCTCGTGTACCCCTTTCATCTTCTCCTGCATCCGCTGGTCTCTCTCCTTCGCCTCTTTCAGCTGCAGTAACAAGAATTCAATACAGAGCTTCTGACATGAACTGGAAGGAGAGTTACACGTGTCCAGTACTGAGCTCCTATCATAAACTGGAGGGAGATATACAAGTGTTCAGTTGTGATCTATGATTACACCACCAAGGTGAGGTCTGGAGCTACCAAACTTTCTGACAAGATGCTGATCTATTGAAAAACAGTACAATCTGATCCATCGGATGACCCTACACTTCACTTGTGGCTGATGGCAGTGCTAGGCTGAATGAACTAGGTATGTCAGTACCTCTCTTTCCTTCCTTGCTTTGTCCAAATCTTGTTGCTCTGCCAACTTCTTGTTCTTTTCTTCCTCCTGTCGCTGCTTCTCCTCTACCTGTGAATCAGTGGCACAAACTGACAGTTACATCACTTGGTCAACCTTTAAGTTTCAAACCTACACCATCAGTTAAACCATCTGTCAGAAGCACCACATGTCAGCTACACCATGCATCAGTTAAACCATCTACCATATGCCAGTTGCACATCTGTCAGTTATACCATATGCCGGATGTACATCTGTCAGTAGCACCATGCCAGTTAACCACCTGTCAGTTGAACCATATGCCAGTTATACCATCTGTCAGTTGCACATTTGTCAGTTATACCATCTGTCAGTAAAACCATGTCAGTTATACCATCTGTCAGTAAAACCATGTCAGTTATACCATCTGTCAGTAAAACCATGTCAGTTATACCATCTGTCAGTAAAACCATGTCAGTTATACCATCTGTCTGTAGCACCATCTGTCAGTATTACCATATGTGAGTTATACCATCTGTCAGTTATACTATATGCCTGTTGCACATCTGTCAGTTATACCATCTGTCAGTTATACCATCTGTCAGTAGCCATCTGTCAGTAGCACCATATGTCAGTGATACCATCTGCCAGTTATACCATATGCCAGTTGCACATCTGTTAATAGCACCATGCCAGTTTACCACCTGTCAGTTGAACCATCTGTAGCACCATATGTCAGTTATACCATCTGCCAGTTATACCTTATGCCAGTTGCACATCTGTCGGTTATACCATCTGTCAGTAGACCATATGCCAGTTGCACATCTGTCGGTTATACCATCTGTCAGTAGACCATATGCCAGTTGCACATCTGTCGGTTATACCATCTGTCAGTAGACCATATGCCAGTTGCACATCTGTCGGTTATACCATCTGTCAGTAGACCATATGCCAGTTGCACATCTGTCCGTTATACCATCTGCCAGTTATACCATATGCCAGTTGCACATCTGTCGGTTATACCATCTGTCAATAGCACCATATGTCACTTATACCATCTGTCAGTTATGCAATATGTCAGTCAGTTCTACCATCTGTCAGTAGGACCATGTCAGTTATACCATATGTCAGTTACACATTCCATCAGACAAACTATTTGTGTCAAGTACGATGTCTACACACATCCGTCAGTTCCACCAAACAACATTGACCCATCTGTCCAATACCATGGTTACACCCATCCATAATCAAATCATCTGTCAGTTAAACATGGTACACCATTTACACTTCAACACCAGACTGAAAGGTGCTGTGATTAAGTAATCATATGGGGTCCAAAAGTAAAGCACAGCCTGTATTAATATTTCCAATAGTTAATGGTTTACAATTTATATGGAATCAAAATAAATGATAAAAAGAATATGAAATAATAAGGGAGACATTCATGTACTACCATATCTAGAATATCAAATCAAAATAATGATGAAAAGAAATTCAAGTACTATTATATCTAGAATATCAAATCAAAATAATGATAAAAAGAATAAGTTGTAAGAAGGGAGACAACTCTGTAAACAATGAGAATCACACTGACACGTCACCTCTATCTGGCGCTGTGTGTACAGTACATGTAATGGGGATAAAGCAATGTGCCGGGGTGTTGTGGGTGGGTCTGTACTACAGGTCAGGTAAGGTTCACACGGACTGTCAGGGACTTGGGAAACAATACTTCAGGGAGGAGACAATGTTGAACATAAACGATCAGTTGTGGTTTCTACTGTACGCAACACACAAAATACTCAGAAAAATAGTTTCATGAAAGTGTAATCTTTACATTGGCTGACCCCTTTCCACAGAATCTTTTTCCTGGTCCTCAAAACCCAGCTTATCTGCAAAGTGTCCATGATGTCCATATTGAGATCATGACCAGTAACATCAGTGTGTAAAATTTGTCTTCTTTGAGAAGCAGCAATGGACAGACAGACAAACTCCATTCCTATATCCCCAGGAATCAACTAACACCAACCTACAGTCAACTCTGATTACAACAAACTCTGTGACCTCCAAAACCCACTTTCAAATAGGAAAGGGACACTTAAGCTCTTCAGCATCCATGGCGGAATAGATCATGTAGGCAAGGGAGGGCAACTCTCCCACTAGCATCCTTACAATCTCAGTCCACACAGAACTAACTTCCTTGTGTGGAATCTTGAAGCTGGTGTGAAGAACAAGGACAAATTCTTTATCATGGTTATTACAAGTGAGGCAATGTTTCAGTGTAGATTCCAACACCTTTAGATTCTATCACTTGCTTGATAAAGATGTTAGAATCTACGCCTCTAATGTAATATAGACTTTGTTCCTAAGAACCTGTCCTTGTTCATCACAGAACAAACATAACACCAGGTTTTTACCACGCAACACCAAACATTATTGATCATTATGAACAAACTTATTCACACGGCATGTTTTATGTTTTATGATGATGAGAAACTCCATTTTAATTTTTCACGTCCTAGAAAACATTGTTCCTTCATAGTCTATCGAAAACATATATAACTTTCAGTTCCTTCACTGTCTATCGATAACATATATATTACATTCATTCAATAAGTGAAGAAGCATAATGGTCACTATTCTTCTTGTAGCTCCTACTTGGTCTGACAGAGTTGGATGCACTGAAGATGGCATAATGGGAGAACAACTAAATGTCAAGGAAGAAATACACATTATCTGTTCCAAGTGAATGAAAATTGTCAGCCCCAATACTCAACTATGACATAATGACCACCATCCCCACCCCCCACCCCACCCCTATTTTTACTATATGATTGACCCCTATAACCTCACTTCCCCCGGCTACCAGTACCACATAACATAACCATGGATGCATCAGGATCAAGGGAAGTAGCTACTGATGGGTTTGTGAGGCGATGTTAGTGGAGCCATGTAATATTGGCAATTTTTAGGTTCAGGGGGTTGGACGTGTTGGATGTGTGGTGAACTTGGTCCACATCTTTAGTCAGGTCAGGTGTTTCTGATGTGTGTTTAATGGGTGGAAAAATTATGTAGATTTTTACAAACTCAAATATACAAACAATATCTTTGAATTTTGTAAACATCACATAATATAGAACAACACTTTACCTCAACCTGGTGGGACAAAGAGAACACAAATTGTTAACAAAACAATGATCAAGACAATGATATTTGCAAACATTTCCACTTTCCTGACACAAATACAATGTTAAAATACTTCTGAATTTAAAAAAAAAACAAGAACAATTTTAAATTCCTAATTTTGGACAAAAAGAATTTTCTCAATTTGACTGCCAGGGGCACTTAATACACTTACTATCCACTGGACTGTACTCATATTAAACAGTACTATCTGTTATTCACAATTCTACTCACTATTTATATTGAACAGTATGACCTGCTATCCATATTGAACAGTTCTACTTACTATTCATATTGAACAATTCTACTCACTATTTATATTGAACAATTCTACTCACTATTTATATTGAACAGCACCATCTGTTATCCATATTGAACAATTCCACCTACTATTCATATTGAACAGTACAACCTGCTATTTGTATTGAACAATTCTACTCACTATTTATATTAAACAGTATGACATGCTATTCATATTGAACAATTCCAATTACTATTCCTATTAAAGAGTACTTCATGTTGTTAATACTGGTACATGTGAACAGTATTATTCATGCCCAATCATCTTCATCGTCATCACTTCTGTTCAGGTTGTAAAACTGCTGAGCTTGCAGTATTCTCTTACTCCCTCTACATGGCCCAGCAAAGCAGTACAATACATTATCACATGGTTACAGCATGTACAGGGCACTAGTATCACTGATTTGTTGTTAACTTTGATATGGTTCTAGCAGGAAGGAGCAAGTAAAACATGTACTAGTGATGTCATACAAGGAAGTACTTGAGCTCAACACAATTATATTGTTATCTCTACATGTCTCTGTCTAGACAGGACTTCCTAATTTGTAATAGCAAGGGGAAACATCTAAATTAGATACACAACAAATCAATACTATATTATTATCTAGGGGAAAGTATTCTACATAACTGCAACATTACAATGCATAATGTAAAGCCTTGCCTGCTCGACTAAACGGTGTGTTTAGTCAAAAAAAGGGTTGTCAATCCTACCAATTTCCATCTGGGAAATGATTTGCAGTTTTTAAATACAAATTTTGATCCTCCAAGGTAACTGGAACTTAAAGCCTGTTTGTTGAATGTCGTGGAGGACCTGTAGACACTTCTAGTGTCCCCTCTCAAATGTTCTCTACTAAGGGACAGAGGCCCAGGATTACTTCACCGAGACCTTGGAGTATTATTCTACCGGTACCAGTGTCAGGCTTAATGTCTTTGTCAATACAATCACTTTATTTCATACCATAGCAACTTGTGTAATCTCTCTTAATTTTGATTTTAAGTCTATAGTTAATACGAACATATCCATAGACCATTTATACAGGAAACTCTTTGCACAGGAATCCAAAGTTGTAATTCTAGATATATTCTGTCAGATTTTATGTTGCTTCACCTCTGTTTTGGCCCAGAATTTATCTCGAGAGGAAGTCTTGATGTCTTTGGCTGCCATCGTCTTCTTATAAACTGAGCCCTGAAAAAATAATCATACAATCTATTTCTATTTGATCACCGTTACAGTGTTATCCTGAGCTTCAACCACATTAATGTCTGTTACCAAGGTGAGAACAAAAAATATAGTAAAATGTACATTAAATAGTATATTTGTATACTTCTCCTATCTCACACTATGCATTTCTTCCTGCATCTCCTTCGATGTTTATGTGGAAATGTGCTAAAAAAAATTCCAGCTTCTAAAAAAAAATAAAAAAATAAAAAAAATAAAAATCACCCAAAATTATCCCATGGTCACAAGCCAATGGGTCGCAAACTGTAATCCTGTGTGTTGTGACTTTGCACGACCTGATCACCTGCCACAGATATCCTAGCCTGTATAGACTAGAACAGTGAGACACACACGAAGAAGCTGGTGTTAAACAGTGATACAGTGAGTGAGTTTTACGCAGCTTTTAGCAATATTCCAGCAATATCACAGCAGGGAACACCAGAAATGGGCTATGAAATGGATATGTATATTATAAATGTCACACGTTAACTCCTTAAAGTCAAATTTGCTGAAGCTGACTATCATAATGTCAAGATAACATTTTCGCATGTCTGTGGGAAGAACATGAAATATAACTTAAATGGTTAATCATCATGTCAACTGATATTTTATATCAAGTTTCACATTCTTATTGACCAATTTAAGATTGTTATCACCTGAATTTCCTGAAGCGAAACAATGTAATTTTACCTCGACACAATATTATGTTGACCGATAGTGCTCGGTAACCCTAGCAAGTCATGTATACACTAATCAACAACAAAAACACACGTCAGTCTTGCTGCACCTCTTTATTTTATAACCTTTGTTATCATATCTAGTTTCAGGTTGTTATGTCCGGCAAGTACTTTCTCAAAATATCCTGATGGCAAATTATTAAATGTCTGGTTTGGACTTTTTTAAATTGGACATTTAGCAGTCACAACCGGAAAAGTCCGCATCCCTGCATGATAAGCAAACACTTCTCCTGAATGAGCATAACAGAACCCCTAATGAGGAGGACTTGGCTTGAGCCAATGACATAGCTATGGCTTCCGTTGCCGACAGGATTGTAGACATAAGCGGGTGCGTACGTCGGATGGTAGTATCCAAGTATCACGATCGCGATACTCAACAAGAGAGGTAGTAGCTGCATACTTGGGGCAGAGAGGAGCAATATCACCATCCAATTCCGGTGCCACAGCAGCCAAAGATAACCCATGAGTGCCAGTATCATCAAAGTTGAACCGAGGAGCTTGCAGTCAATCACGTAACTGCAAAGGTCGTGTCCAGGTTACTCGGGGCACCAGACAGGATGGGCATCAGCGGCGGCGCGATGACAAAGGAACCAGCGGTGGGTATGACGAAACACGATAGTTGGTCGTCTAGGGAAGTAGTGCACTGTAGCTGAAGCCGATCCACAACCCAAGGAAGGACGGGCGCAGGATCAGCGTTGTCGAACCTCCACGTAGATGAGGCTGATGCTCCAAAACTACATTGGACACACCGTAGAACCATCAAGTTGAACAGGAGCAGCGGATCCTGGAAGAACGGCCGATGCGGGAGTCGACATGGGAGTCACTATCTGCTGACGGGAAAAGTGCTGGAGGGCAATTGTCACAGCCTGCAAGGGGCGATTCTAAGTCCGGAGACAAAACTACTAGCCTGGTCCTGATGGTCCCAGGAAGTAGGCAGAGGCAGGGTAGATGGAGGGGGGAGCTCCATAGTAGGAGCTGACACAGCCGAGAAAGGTTGTGCAGGAACCGAAGAAAAATAGAGACATAGATCTAATAGGAGGACGGCAATTCGCGCGAGTGTCAAACACTGGTGATGAGTCTCGACAGCGATCCATGGACTGTTCCAAGGGTGGCGCATAACGGTAAATGTCATGGAATGTTTGGGTAATTTGTTTTTAGAAGCTGGAAACTTTGTTCCAGCACGTTTCCACATAAGGGTCGAGAGAAGAAGGAAGAAATGAATAGTGTGAGATTGGATAGGTTTAAAAATTTAGCGTTTATACTTGTGTGGGGCTTCAATATCTGTTACGGTCAGAACCTAGACGTCTTGATACAGGTACAGGGGCCTCGCTGTCTGACAGTCTGAACCATTACTTACCACAGGTGTGGGGGCTTCAATGGGTTTTGCCTTCTCCTTGTGGAAGCTGTAGTTTGCACCGGAAGACTTTGACACCTTCTTGATGACGTCATCTTCATCGACATCAGCCTCAGTACGAGCGTTCACAGTCACATGGATGGTCTGAAGATATTGCCAACACGACTTGTAATTACTTCAATCAAATGTTTGTATAGACGCGAAAGACACTGTATGAACATAGAGAGTAGGATGCCAGGTAAGAGAATCAAATGGGTTCATTAGTTTACAAACTATGACTGCCTACCTTCAGGAAATTTGTCATATCCCGTAAATGTTGGGTGCACTTTAACTTGAGGGCATCAGGTGCACCCTCTCCTTGCTGGAAATAAAACACAACTTCATTACTACGTTTCTGGCAAAACATTTTGTTCAAGTTAATCCCTAAAATATGATGCCTTATGATGCCTAGAGCAAAAGCCGCGTATTCACCCTGTCATACACTGGAGCTTGTAAACATACTTATCATTACTCTAGGGCTGGGACAGGTAACTCAGGTACTCAGGTCGGGTGGGTCCCGAGTAGGACCCAGGTACCCACAGGACTACCCGGACCTGTGGTTAGTCACGTGATACACTGTTTAATGACAAAAATTATCTTGAACTCCATGGTTACGCTATAAGTCACTCCTGTTCGCATTTCTTTCTGACTATGTAACCATTTCTTCTGACTTTCATGACGTTTGAAAAAAGATAAAGCAAGTTCAGTGAATGTATGACCAGATCGTTTTATGCGTGTATCTAAATACATTTTGCCAAGGCTGGTCAGGTAGGGTCAGGTAATAGAGGGTTGGGTACCCAAATTTGGACTCATCCCAGCCCTTTATTACTCGTTAGTACCCTGTACACCCTATTATTATCATATTGGACTCAAAATACAACTTCAGTAGATCAGATATGGTTCTTTTAACTATCTGGTTCATAGCAATTTGACATTAACTTTTTACACTGACTTTGTACAGAGGGTAACAGGGAGAGACACATTTAGTCATATCCCAGCAGTATCACAACAGGGTACACATCAGGAAATGAAATCCTCTTTTTGGTTTGACATATGACAAGCAGCCATTGTCCTCCATCCCCATCCCCCACAGTACATTAGATCAATACTTGACAATACTCATTATCCTAGTGTTTGTTTGTTTGTTTGTTCGTTTGTTTGTTGTTTAACGCCACACTCAGCAATATTCCAGCTGTATGACAGCAGTCTGTAAAGAATCATGTCTGGGCCTGGCAATCCAGTGACTGACATCATGAGCATCGATCCACGCAGTTGGGATACGATGACATGCATCAACCAAGTCAGCGAGCCTGACCACTTGATCCTGTTAGTCGCCTTTACGACAAGCATAGTCGCCTTTTACGGCAAGCATGGGTTGCTGAAGACCTATTCTACCCCGGATCTTCTTGGGTTCGTTATCCTAGTGATGAACCTACCCAGTTGATGAGCACATATTTGGGGAGATCGGTGTTGGGGTCAGTCACACGACAGTAGCCGTACATGATCTTCCCACTGTTGAGTTCCTCTGTCATTTCTTCAACACCTCCCTCTACACAAAACACAAGAGTGATCACTGAACACAATAAAACACAAGACATACAAATAGCAGTAATAAAACTTCAGGAAGACTGTAAATATCTGTGCATAAAATCACTTTTATAGAGCCAGAATCAGGTCAAAGGAAAAGACAGAAAGGGACGGTGGACAAGGACTTCATACAGTGAGTGAGTGAGTGGGTGGGTGGGTGGGTGAATGGGTGAGTGAGCTTTTACTCAGCAATATTCCAGCTATATGACAGCAGTCTGCAAATAATCAAGTCTGGACCTGACAATCCAGTGACTGACATCGTGAGCATCAATCTACCAATTGGGATACAATAACATGCATCAACTGTTGGTCGCCTCTTACGACAAACATGGGTTGCTGAAGACCAGTTCTAACCCTGTTCTTCAGAGGGTTTAATACTGCAAGTCCATGAAGTACATACCCCCAGTTTCATAGACCTTCAGCACAGGAGAATTGCCCTCATATCCAAAAACAGCCCTGTCATAAAAAAAGACGTCATGACAAAAATAATGAAATATTTACCATTATGTTTACCATTTTTTACATATGAAATACTGATAGCAGGTTGAACTATTAGAACAATGACCACATGTCAAGTTAATTGTTGAACAATGTTGATGTAAGCAGTGTAACGTGATCGTAGATCACATCTTGAAAAAGTAGTTACCGTATTCGACGTAATAAGCGCCCTGCTCTAATAAGCTCCCACGGCGATATTTGTTAATATATTGGCTAGTGAACAACCTCAATTAGCACCTCTTCCAATTGATTAATGTACACAAGACTTATTTATTTGTGTATACTACGCACTCGTATGTTATATGCACCCTTAATTATGGGCAATTAAATCCTGGAAAAATATATCTGTCGTATATAAACATTTCAGGCTGTCAGCATAAACCACGAAATTTACGATCTTTCAACTCAAAATAATATTCTAATAACAGCCCCCTATTTCTAATTTTGAGAGCACCCTGGGCGCTTACTACGTCGAATACGGTAAGTCTAATACAGTAGAGAGGTGGTTGAAAGAATTATAGATAAATATAATAACTGCCATTTTTCAATCAAAACATAAAGTGAGCTAACACAGAGTTCTTGTACTGAAGTGCAAGATTTTCATCTTGCTGAACATCTTTGTTGGGCCGGAATAGTGTGAACAAAATCAGGGATATCTGGTGACTGTCAGCTTTCCCTGACAATGCTGATGTAGACAAGCAGATTATTTTAAAGAATTCTCAGTGTTTTAATTCTTTGTACATGTTGGATGATCTGCTGTCATACCATTAACATGATTAAACAAAGGTTGTGTAAGATCACCTTTACCAAGGCACTGTTTAATACAGTAAAACCCTCTTAGTCCAGCAGTACCCATCCCAGTTAAATTGTCTTCATTAACAAATGTTGCCGAATTGACACATCATGGCTTTGGAATAATGTCCGCAAAGCTTTCCTACAGTACCATCTGAAAAGTTTGTTTGTTTGTTTGTTTGTTTGTTTGTTTGTTTGTTTGTTTGTTGTTTAACGCCACACTCAGTAATATTCCAGCTATATGGCAGCGGTCTGTAAATAATCGAGTCTGGACCAGAAAATCCAGTGATTGACGCCATGAGCATAGATCTAATATCCTGTTAGTCACCTCTTTTGACAAGCATAGTCGCCTTTTAAAACAAGCATGGGTTGCTGAAGACCTATTCTACCCCAGATCTTCATGGGTCCATCTGAAAAGTGGGGAATTCTACTTTATGTGGCATATGTAATAGGGTCTAGATGTAAGGGGTGTCACTGTATACAAAAGGGTTTCCACATGATATTTTTTTCAATATTTATTTAAAAATTTCTCTTAGTGTCTGTGCCCTACGACAGAGGTCATCCTCACAACGTTGTGGTGCTGAATTCAAAAGGCTCTCCATTTGTTTTCTATCACAGCTCCTCTGTATCATACACGAAACTTGATAGTCCAACAGGACAGATGCATACATCATGTACATATCTAATCTTAAGTCCAGTTGAAGTCAGTTCTCATATCAGATGGCTTGATAAGTATGATAAGCATTTTAAAAGTGTACATAACTTGAACAACTTCAATGCCAATATTATTTTTTTTCAAGATTCAATATTGTTTTGTTACTGTGTTTGCAAGCATTAAATACATCGCTCCTGAAAAAGTGAATTGATGGGAGTACTGTTCTTAACAAGTGCACTTTTTCAGATTTCAAGTAACACAGCATACAGGATCGAACTCACGTTGACCAGCTGGAGGCTAAGCTAGGCTGATGAGTTAAGATAATTAGCAAACACTTTACCACGAGAGCTATTACAAATAACTAGTGCTCGTTTACCAAGTGATCAGTACCTGATTGTTTACCTTGATACTCATGCTCAGAAACCATTTTTCTACAAGAATATTGAAGCTTCATAAGAACATTTTGGATTTTCCTCAAATTACATTGGATTAATTACTTAAAGCAGCTCACCACACCCTAACTCACAACTTACCCCCAGGATCATACAGGGGTGCCAATAAACCTAAGAATATTAAATAGCTGTTTCATTTGCAAGGGATTCCGAACCCTAAGGATCATAAAGGGGTGTTTGATCGGATAGGGGATCCAAGGTCTTTGGATAGTATTGGGGCTTAACCTACCTTCAACAAGCAAGAGCAACAATCGTCAGTTTGAACTAATAAGCACCTTAAGCTGCGCCCAGTAAACTGCAGTCTTGCCAATGAATCCAAACTGTCATGGGCATATATGTGAGCATAAATAAGTTCCCCTTGAACATTTGTTCTGGAGGAAGCAATATGCCAGGAAATTTGTTGCTGTGGAACAATATACCCACGAAAACAATTTCACATGAACAAAACTCATGGTATAGTATGACTTGTTTGATAGGCATTACTTAGATGTTGACGGGTGACAAGGTAGACACAATTTTATGGATAACAACTTCTTTAATACTGTAAAAAGCGATGTTTCGGTATAGATCCTTATACCGTTGTCAAGCAGGACTGAACATGCTGAATGAGGGACAAATTACAGCATATATATTGTACATGTAGTAGGTGGAGTCGCTTTTTACAGTATTAAAGAAGTTAAAATTGTGTCTACCTTGTGGTATAGTATGACTTTATTATTGTGGTATCGGTAAATCCCGTAATCCACACCCCCTGTCGACAGTTAACTTATGCAAATCTAAGCACAACATTTCATCACTTGATCGAATATAGGACTCATTGCTGTATGTCACGGCTACTCTTAAGTATACATGCTAACATTTTTATGATAGTTTCTGGAATGTGTTCAAGTGGAATTACCCCTACCTTCATTCGAAATTGATAACAAAATAACCCATTTCTTTAGACGAAGTCCAATGACCCAACCTAGGTCCTAGGTGCAATGACCCAGCCTAGGTGCATACTGATCATGCATAATCCAAAACAGGAAGCAATGTAAACAACATAATCCACAGGTATCACACCAGAAGAGAGCCATACCGCGATAATATCGCCCTTGAGTCGCTAATGACGGGTACTTTGTTTACTGACCAGGGTAAAGAAAATTAGCTTTGATCAATCCTAATTGATGTGTCATAAAAGTTGAACAAAGAACAAGAAACATTTTGTGTATGACATATTTAATAGGCCTGTAAGCATGCACCATTACGATCCATTATAAATTAACTACTGCGATAATATAGCTTACCATCCTATATCGATTCCACCAGAACAAATGTTTAGGGGAACATATTTATGCTCACATATATACATCAGAAATGTCATTTGTATTTTATTTGTTCAAACGTCAATATATTTCAATATAAGGAAGGGATATCTGTCATTTAAATTTTTATTCCGGAAAGAACAACTTGAAACTATTTAAAGCATACAGATTGAAGATGGGCATATTTTTTAACTCACTCCCAATAATAATTTCTCATTCATCTAATTTAACGGTTAGAAAGTACTAGGAGGCCAAATTATCATCAAAGGTATTATAAACGTCACGGTGGACATATTCCCACTTCCTTGTTGGACCGTGTGGAAGCGGAAGGGGCAGGACTCGTGAGTTAGCTGGCCGGTGTAGGCCATTTGTCGGATCCCTGGAAATAACTAGATTCGTATCAAATTGAAATCATACCAAAATCTCTGAGAGAAATCTTACCATGCTGTGTCTGATTTATCATTAACAACATCGTTGTAGGCTTTTTGCAAGGAATCCTTGTTCTTCTTCAAGTCGATCGCCATCCTGAATGACTACCGCCTGCGCTCTACGTCATCAATCTTTGTGTACACAGAAGTGACATAAATCAAATAGTACGTTCCTAAGAACTAGCATTATATGAAGAAATTACACTACAGACTTCTCGTATCGTAACGAAATTTTTAAAAACATTTCGTTGGTAAAAAGATATTGACAGCGATACAACCCCAGATAGTGACCGTCAGATTATACTTATAGATATCTATGTATATATCACAAACATATTTCTAACCTAATTGATCTAAGAAAGGAAACAGTATCACACTATTGTTTTGTTAATCAAATGACGCTTTTTTCCTGCACGTTGTGGAAGTGGTTTGACATTTTTCATTCAATTATATGAAGAACACAGAATAAAATATATCACTTTGTCTCCATTATTCACGAATATGAGATTTCTTTACGCCTAGATATATCGAAAAGGCATTAATTATTTTAATAATAAACTATTTAATATTTTCGTGCATTGCACCGAAGCCGATAAAAAATATATTGCATTGTCGTATATTTAAGTAGACATGCCTACCTAACCACCAACGCAATTGTTAAACAGATAAGTGTTGAAGAATTTCAAAGAAGCATACCCAAAACATTGATAATTGCAAATTAAGATACCAAACAACGTTGGCTTAAAAAATATAAGCTCGGCCTTTTTCAAAATGTTTTTTTTCCATGCAAAGTGCAAACATGTCATTCTTAGTACATATTCATTTCCATTGAAGGCAACTAATTGTTCCGTTTACAAAAATATGGCAACATAATTGTGTATTGTTATCATTACCATTTGAGTATAACTTTAATATACAACTAGATTCATACACAAATCATTTCATTGAGAAATGGGAGAAATAACATTGAACAGGATGTGCTACACAAATAAGATACTGAAATGTCACATAGGGGTGGGAGCGGGAGGGGGAGGGGGGGGGGGGGGGGGTGCGATTTGGAGTGGGAGTGGGAGCGGGAGCGGGAGTTGGTGGATGGTTAATATATCCAATCTGTCTAACACTTTATTTCCATGTGACGCGTTCATTTCAAGGAATCTCAGAGATGTCGGAAAGACAAGATTTAGTTTCTTTACATTCTTTTCTTAATTACATATTACAGAAACGATACAACTTTGAAAATGTAGAACTAGCGATTCCCACTTCCGTATTCCTCCCTCCTTTCCTCGTTATACCGCGCCACGTTGCCTAAATTGACTTAGGTTCATTACTGTCCATAAAACATTGCGTGTTGATAAATTAATTGGGCGGAACGGATTTTAGCACCTGTTTGAGTGTTTGCGTAATCTTAACAGTCTGGATTAATTGTTTGTTAACGAGACATTTAATCAAGTAAGATAATATGATTAAGGGTGGAGGGGCTGTTTACTCACAAATACAATCATTCAGACAAAAAATCATTTGATTCTTGCGATGTAAACAAATGGTCATCAGGGTCAATACCATTTCGTTAGAGCAGAACACTTTTCTTTTATGTGTGTGTGGATTGAACCGATAGCCCCCCCCCCCCCCCCCCCCGCTACTCACCCCCCCCCCCCCCCCCCCCCCCCCCCCCCCCAAATCACACGGCGTCCATATCACTCCCAACCACATATTTTGGACTGTACACATTGAAATAAAAGAGACGTAAAGGTTTGACGTCGAAGTGATACTACTATAGTAGTAGAAATAACACACTGTTATTTTGAGGGATACATTTTAATATGCTATGGTTAATATAAAAACAACCGACAAAGCCTTTGTTTAGGTTCAGTTGATGACTATGGGCATTGTGTTTCACAAGAATGGCAGTTGTACGGGGAATATTGTTTACCCCAATGTTTATGTGCGATTTCATTCATTTGGCGCATACAGAATGAGCTGATTTCATTCTGTCATATTTCGCGATCAGCTGACTGACAATAGTTAATTTTCGTGGTAAGTGCTTTATTTTTTGCGATAGAATTTATCGATGCATAATTAATGAATTATTTGCATACCTCGAACTGGTCACTGGTGACAGAATTTATCAGACAATCATGTAGGAATGTCTCATATGTTCATTACCGTTCTTTGCATCTGTAGAAAAAATTAAAAATAATATCAGAATTCAGAATTTTTTGGTTGTAGTGCATATGTCTGCATGTAGGCCTATTTGACATTTTACCATCTGTTTTTTCCCCATTCGAAATGTTAATATACGCAGTAATATCAATTGATGTTTGGGATGCGATGATTTCTATGCTTATATAGAGCACAAAAGAAAAAGAAAAGAAGCGCAGACAGTACATTGTAAATTTGTAAAGCATGAATTTTTTGTTGTTGCGTTTAACGTTAATGTTTTTGTATGATATACCTTATAGTTATGTTGTATTCCTAAGACTTTGAAATGCACTTAAATTTAACACATTATTTGATATCCATGATGTCCACGAGTATATATATAGATATATATATATATCATAATTACATTCAAGAGAAAAAAATTCAGTTGCTGCATTTTGTAATAGTGTATTTTCTAATGTGTATCATCCAAAACAACATACTGAATCATTTTGATGAATATCACAGTTGCAAAATGTTATTGTTTTTCATGGTTGTGATACAATTGATCAATACTGAAAAAATGTTATAATACATCATAGAGTGAAGTCATTATATGAAAAATATGCATGACAGAACTTACATACAGACTAGAGCATTGTTGAGATACTCGTTATAAATATGGATGCATTTCTTGTCAATAGTAAGCAATTGTCATAGAATGGTGTTGGGTATCACGGAACAAGTATCACTCAATCTAGCTATGTTACTGCTGAATCAAGCAAGCAATTGACTATTTTAATTAGGATCCAATCAGCTTGACTGTACATCTGGCTTCATTACCCGTGTGCTTCATTTACTGTGTGATATTTGTTATTCTTACTGTACATTTGCCTTAATCCAATTATCTGTATGCTACTTGTTATCTGTTACCTGTTGGTGCCAATGTTAATCTGCTGCTTATCACAACATGTCAAGCATATATACCTCTCATCACTTGGTTGTTGTCACTCCAGCGTGATTATGGTGTAAGAATCTACATCGAAGCGTCGCTAATTGCAATAAGCCAGAAGTTGTTATCCATAAAGTTGTATGTTTTCTTACCTATTACTGCTGTGTTGGAACCTGTCTAGTAACATTTCTTTCTGTCTAGCAAGATCAGCTGATCATAGTTCATACATTATCACATTACATCTACAGAAATGATCAAAAATGACGATTTTGGAATAGTAGGCACAAAGTGTTTTGTCACAGGCTGCATAAATATGGAAGAATGGATCTGTGATCATGATGATAGTTCTTAGTATCGTCCACAATGATGAATCACAAATGAGAATTAGTCAAGTGGAGAGATATAGACAGATTTCCAGTGTTTTCACTTCCACTGCAGACTGACAGCCAAAGTCTGTCGCAGTTTGAGTTGGTCAATGATAGAATAAAAAATCCCAGACAACATTTTATGACAGTTTTACCTGTTCATTTGATTGTTTTTATGAACTGTTATTTAAAAAAACCTGTTAATATATTTTAATGCATTTTACCTGTAGCCTTGTTCACATCTCAACAAAGACAGTTAATAGTAATGGCTCTATCATTGGGTGAGGGTGGATATAAATGTCACATATTGTATTTCATGGCCAACTTCATGACTGAACAGCTTTGCCAAACAATTATGTGAGGTAACATCTAACAATTCCCAGGGCAAATGGTCAATTTCCAAGTCCTGTTTAACTCACCAGACAAGTCTCAGCGGAGAAGTTTCCTTATTGTGGTAGAATACTCCTCTGCCTATTGCCTACCGTAGCCATCGTAATAAGAGCCCAACAGATTTGGAAAATGGACAAATGGGGACACTTATTATAACTGTAAACAAAAGCTTAAAATCGTGGTCTGACATTGAGTGGAATTGAACAAACTTAGTTCAAAGGATGATGAAGCTAAAACTGTTTTGATAATAGATACAAGGCAATTATTTACCGTATTCGACGTAATAAGCGCCCAGGGCGCTCCCAAAATTAGAAATAGGGGGCTCTTATTAGAATATTATTTTGGTGGAAAAAACAGAGTTGAAAGATGAATTTTGTGGTTTATGCTGACGGCCTGACTGTTTATATACGACAGATATATTTTTCCAGAATTTAATTGCCCATAATTAAGGGTGCATATAACACAGGAGTGCGTGTTATACACGAATAAATAAGTCTTGTGTACATTGATCAATAGGAAGGGGTGCTAATTGGGATTGTTCACTTGCCAATATATTAGCAAATATCGCCGTGGGCGCTTATTAGCGGGGCGCTTATTATGTCGAATACGGTATTCTTTCTACACTGCTTTTTAAGAAACCTGTAATATACACAAGAAGATACAGATTGTTATGTTAATGTTAAGTCTTATATGGTAGCACTTATAAATATTACTTACAGATTGGCCTAGAAGTTGTTCAGGTGGCGCTTATAGGAACAGGGCGTTTAATACGGTGAATACGGTATTTCCTGATGCAGTATTTCCTGATGCAGTTTTAAGACCCTTGTTATACATGATAACAAGTGACTTATCAAACAAAGTGGGTTTTGTATGAAGTGAATCTAACTTTGCAAGTTGGTCTGAACTTAACAAGAAATGTGCATACTATTTATGAAAATTATGGAAATGCAATATTTTCAGCAGAGCCACCTGTTTGATATTAGATACCGATCTCTTATGAGAGACCTCTTTTTGTACGTATTGTTTTGTTGTTTGTATACATGGTATAGGAGTGAATTTAGTATGAGAGCTAACATCACAAAGATGTGAACTGGTTGTCTGGAAATAAGGGCTTAGCACCAAGCCGGCCACACCTGGATTGCTACGGCTTATTCTAATATATTGCAGGTGTCAACGTTAGGCATCGATGTTGTTACCATATTTCACCTAAAGTGAGAGCATACCACAGTACAAGACTTCTCCATTTAGGTAACAGTTCAAGAGTTCAGTATAGAATAAAAACTTAAATCCTTGAGTTTTGAGACATCCTTCTCACCCCCACCAAACCGCCAACAACCAACACCACTTCCAATTACCTACCCATTGCGGAAAATGTTAACATTGTCATAGAGATTGATAACAATGTTAATAAAGCTGTTTGCCCGACACTCAAGCTGTTTGTATTACTGTGATGGAGATGCCGTTCATTTGCAGAGTAGAAATGCGATGAATAGACCTGTTATTTATTGACTTTAGCTTAAGAAATCCTGAAACATCGATTTTGCCTGATGGAAAATCTGCAGACCTTTTTAGCCACCCCAACACTAACCCATACCTAAAAAAATAAGACTTTTATCAGACATCCTAATTTTGAACTAGTCCCTAAATCAATAATACACACCTGCCACGGGGAAGATTCGGTGTGGAGTAAAATATATGAAAAGACACATGGACAATGTTAACAGGTGCTTGAAGTTCATTAATTGTTAAAAAGAACTTGTTTGGTCAGAACGTGCCTAGTTGTGTGTTTGCCAAATCATTGATATAATTATGTTATGGAAGTGATCAATACTACAGGCCTGTTTGAGATGAACGGATGTGTTTTTTGTACTTATTGATACTGTTAGATATTACAAGGTGGAACTTCGTATGATTTTTATTGACAATACTTGGTATGGATTTCTTAACAATCAGCTGTGAGTTATGTCTCGCTTTCAACACCATCTGACTTTGAGGTCTGAAATGTTGGTGAAATTGCGCAAGAAGTTCAGATACAGCATATAGTCTGTATTGTGAGAAGACACTAACTTATTTTTGATGTTGCACTTATTAGGATATATATTTACCAGTGCACCTGTTCAAATTCTGGGAAATTGATTTGGGTTGGAAATGTCTTGAAGATTCTTTTCAAAATATGTAATGATATAGAAGAAAGAACATTTCTCTAGCCAGCTATGGCCACTAGCTACTGCTGTCCTTACACGTGTGTAACTGTGATGATTAGAGTTGGGACGAGTCCGAATTTACTACCTGGGTAACCGATCCCCTATTACCTGGCCCTACCCGGGTACCCACTGCAGGTCTCAAGAGCTGGGAACAAAATGTCTGATTGGGAATTGTTTTATCGCAGCCCTGTCCAAAACTATTTAGATACATGTATCAAACGATCAGTACACTGAAGTTGACTGAAGCTTTATCTTTTCTCAGACATTTACAAGTCAAAAGGAATGTCTGCATCGTCAGAAAGAAATGCAAACATTAACCACTGAGCTATAGTGAGTTTTTGTCATCAAACAATATATCACGTGACTAACCACGGGTCCGGATAGTCCTGTGGGTACCCAGGTCCTTCTCAGGGCCCAACCGACCCGAGTACCCGAGTTACCTGTCCCAGCCCTAGTGATATACAGGTATATTTTCTTCGACATCCCTATCACTAAGTCATCATCATGATTCCTGATGCTGTCATACCAATCTCAATACAGCAACTGCTAAACAAACCTCACCTTGAACACTGTTTCAACAGAAGGATTTCCTCACACAATGGAAAAAATCCCTTTCCATGCTCTAGTCCACGAGCAAACGTTCCACCTCTACTTTGTTTTTGACCGCACAGATGATCCATGGGTTCTGTTGTCGGGTTATGATTATTTATAGTATATTTTTACCGGTTGTGCAAATGATTGTGGGTACAATTTTGACTTTTAATACCAGAGCTCCAGATAAGCTTTTGGTGTTGTGGGTATTTTACCCATGCATTTTAAAATCATTGGCGATCAGTAATTCTATCTGGGTATTCAAATTTCGGTTACCCACTAGTTTTTACACATGTGGGTATTTAAGTTAAATATTTAAAAACACTATTCATCTAGTCCCTGCAAACTGGTGTCATGTGGGTTCGAGAGCTTTATAGGACTCAAAAATACCAC